TGCAGGAGTGGATGCTGATGTGGATGCTATATCTGAAGGAACAGTACTAGTGGCTGACATTGCAGGAGTGGATGCTGATGTGGATGCTATATCTGAAGGAACAGTACTAGTGGCTGACATTGGAGGAGTGGATGCTGATGTGGATGCTATCTGAAGGAACAGTACTGTGGCTGACATTGCAGGAGTGGATGCTGATGTGGATGCTATATCTGAAGGAACAGTACTAGTGGCTGACATTGCAGGAGTGGATGCTGATGTGGATGCTATATCTGAAGGAACAGTACTAGTGGCTGACATTGCAGGAGTGGATGCTGATATGGATGCTATATCTGAAGGAACAGTACTAGTGGCTGACATTGGAGGAGTGGATGCTGATCTGAAGGGATGCTATATCTGAAGGAACAGTACTAGTGGCTGACATTGCAGGAGTGGATGCTGATGTGGATGCTATATCTGAAGGAACAGTACTAGTGGCTGACATTGCAGGAGTGGATGCTGATGTGGATGCTATATCTGAAGGAACAGTACTAGTGGCTGACATTGAGGAGTGGATGCTGATGTGGATGCTATATCTGAAGGAACAGTACTAGTGGCTGACATTGCAGGAGTGGATGCTGATGTGGATGCTATATCTGAAGGAACAGTACTAGTGGCTGACATTCAGAGTGGATGCTGATGTGGATGCTATATCTGAAGGAACGGTACTAGTGGCTGACATTGCAGGAGTGGATGCTGATGTGGATGCTATATCTGAAGGAACTAGTAGGTACTAGTGGCTGACATTCTGAAGGAATGGATGCTGACATTGCAGGAGTGGATGCTATATCTGAAGGAACAGTACTAGTGGCTGACATTGCAGGGAACAGTGGATGCTTCAGATGTGGATGCTATATCTGAAGGAACAGTACTAGTGGCTGACATTGCAGGAGTGGATGCTGATGTGGATGCTATATCTGAAGGAACGGTACTAGTGGCTGACATTGCAGGAGTGGATGCTGATATGGATGCTATATCTGAAGGAACAGTGGCTACAGTGGCTGACATTGGAGGGATGCTGATGTGGATGCTATATCTGAAGGAACAGTACTAGTGGCTGACATTGCAGGAGTGGATGCTGATGTGGATGCTATATCTGAAGGAACAGTACTAGTGGCTGACATTGCAGGAGTGGATGTTGATGTGGATGCTATATCTGAAGGAACGGTACTAGTGGCTGACATTGCAGGAGTGGATGCTGATGTGGATGCTATATCTGAAGGAACAGTACTAGTGGCTGACATTGCATGGAGTGGATGCTGATGTGGCTGACATGGATGGATGCTATATCTGAAGGAACAGTACTAGTGGCTGACATTGCAGGAGTGGATGCTGATGTGGATGCTATATCTGAAGGAACAGTACTAGTGGCTGACATTGCAGGAGTGGATGCTGATGTGGATGCTATATCTGAAGGAACAGTACTAGTGGCTGACATTGGAGGAGTGGATGCTGATGTGGATGCTATATCTGAAGGAACTATATCTGACATTGCAGGAGTGGATGCTGATGTGGATGCTATATCTGAAGGAACGGTACTAGTGGCTGACATTGCAGGGAGTGGATGCTGATGTGGATGCTATATCTGAAGGAACGGTACTAGTGGCTGACATTGCAGGAGTGGATGCTGATTGTAGGAGGTGGATGGATGCTATATCTGAAGGAACAGTACTAGTGGCTGACATTGCAGGAGTGGATGCTGATGTGGATGCTATATCTGAAGGAACAGTACTAGTGGCTGACATTGCAGGAGTGGATGCTGATGTGGATGCTATATCTGAAGGAACAGTACTAGTGGCTGACATTGCAGGAGTGGATGCTGATGTGGATGCTATATCTGAAGGAACAGTACTAGTGGCTGACATTGCAGGAGTGGATGGATGCTATATCTGAAGGAACAGTACTAGTGGCTGACATTGCAGGAGTGGATGCTGATGTGGATGCTATATCTGAAGGAACAGTACTAGTGGCTGACATTGCAGGAGTGGATGCTGATGTGGATGCTATATCTGAAGGAACAGTACTAGTGGCTGACATTGCAGGAGTGGATGCTGATGTGGATGCTATATCTGAAGGAACGGTACTAGTGGCTGACATTGCAGGAGTGGATGCTGATGTGGATGCTATATCTGAAGGAACAGTACTAGTGGCTGACATTCTGAAGGAACAGATGCTGATGGATGGATGCTATATCTGAAGGAACAGGTACTAGTGGCTGACATTGCAGGAGTGGATGCTGATGTGGATGCTATATCTGAAGGAACAGTACTAGTGGCTGACATTGCAGGAGTGGATGCTGATGTGGATGCTATATCTGAAGGAACAGTACTAGTGGCTGACATTGCAGGAGTGGATGCTGATGTGGATGCTATATCTGAAGGAACAGTACTAGTGGCTGACATTGCAGGAGTGGATGCTGATGTGGATGCTATATCTGAAGGAACAGTACTAGTGGCTGACATTGCAGGAGTGGATGCTGATGTGATGCTATATCTGAAGAACAGTACTAGTGGCTGACATTGCAGTGGATGCTGATGTGGATGCTATATCTGAAGGAACAGTACTAGTGGCTGACACATTGCAGGAGTGGATGCTGATGTGGATGCTATATCTGAAGGAACAGTACTAGTGGCTGACATTGATGCAGGAGTGGATGCTGATGTGGATGCTATATCTGAAGGAACTAGTGGCTGACATTCAGTGGCTGACATTGGCAGGATTGGATGGATGCTGATGTGGATGCTATATCTGAAGGAACAGTACTAGTGGCTGACATTGCAGGAGTGGATGCTGATGTGGATGCTATATCTGAAGGAACAGTACTAGTGGCTGACATTGCAGGAGTGGATGCTGATGTGGATGCTATATCTGAAGGAACAGTACTAGTGGCTGACATTGCAGGAGTGGGTGGATGCTGATGTGGATGCTATATCTGAAGGAACGGTACTAGTGGCTGACATTGCAGGAGGGATGCTGATGTGGATGCTATATCTGAAGGAACAGTACTAGTGGCTGACATTGCAGGAGTGGATGCTGATATGGATGCTATATCTGAAGGAACAGTACTAGTGGCTGACATTGCAGGAGTGGATGCTGATGTGGATGCTATATCTGAAGGAACAGTACTAGTGGCTGACATTGCAGGAGTGGATGCTGATGTGGATGCTATATCTGAAGGAACAGTACTAGTGGCTGACATTGCAGGAGTGGATGCTGATGTGGATGCTATATCTGAAGGAACAGTACTAGTGGCTGACATTGCAGGAGTGGATGCTGATGTGGATGCTATATCTGAAGGAACAGTACTAGTGGCTGACATTGCAGGAACGGAGTGGATGCTGATGTGGATGCTATATCTGAAGGAACGGTACTAGTGGCTGACATTGCAGGAGTGGATGCTGATGTGGATGCTATATCTGAAGGAACAGTACTAGTGGCTGACATTGGCTGGATGCTGATGTGGATGCTATATCTGAAGGAACAGTACTAGTGGCTGACATTGCAGGAGTGGATGCTGATGTGGATGCTATATCTGAAGGAACAGTACTAGTGGCTGGACATTGCAGGAGTCTGAAGGAACAGATGCTGATTCAGGAGTGGATGTGGATGCTATATCTGAAGGAACAGTACTAGTGGCTGACATTCAGGAGTGGATGCTATATCTGAAGATACTAGTGGCTGATTGTGGATGCTATATCTGAAGGAACAGTACTAGTGGCTGACATTGCAGGAGTGGATGCTGATGTGGATGCTATATCTGAAGGAACTAGTGGCTGACATTGCTAGGATGCTGGCTGATGCATTCTGAAGGAACGGTACTAGGGCTGACATTGCAGGAGTGGATGCTGATGTGGATGCTATATCTGAAGGAACAGTACTAGTGGCTGACATTGCAGGAGTGGATGCTGATGTGGATGCTATATCTGAAGGAACAGTACTAGTGGCTGACATTGCAGGAGTGGATGGATGCTGATGTGGATGCTATATCTGAAGGAACAGTACTAGTGGCTGACATTGCAGGAGTGGATGCTGATGTGGATGCTATATCTGAAGGAACAGTACTAGTGGCTGACATTGCAGGAGTGGATGCTGATGTGGATGCTATATCTGAAGGAACAGTACTAGTGGCTGACATTGCAGGAGTGGATGCTGATGTGGATGCTATATCTGAAGGAACAGTACTAGTGGCTGACATTGCAGGAGTGGATGCTGATGATGCTATATCTGAAGGAACGGTACTAGTGGCTGATGCTATGCTATCTGAAGGAACAGTACTAGTGGCTGACATTGCAGGAGTGGATGCTGATGTGGATGCTATATCTGAAGGAACAGTACTAGTGGCTGACTAGTGGATGCTATATCTGAAGGAACAGTACATTGACATTCAGAGTGGATGCTGATGTGGATGCTATATCTGAAGGAACGGTACTAGTGGCTGGCATTGCACATTGGATGCTGGATGCTGATATCTGAAGATGCTATATCTGACATTGGAACGGTACTGATGGCTGACATCTGAAGGAACAGTACTATGGCTGATGTGGATGCTATATCTGAAGGAACAGTACTAGTGGCTGACATTGCAGGAGTGGATGCTGATGTGGATGCTATATCTGAAGGAACAGTACTAGTGGCTGACATTGCAGGAGTGGATGCTGATGTGGATGCTATATCTGAAGGAACGGTACTAGTGGCTGACATTGCAGGAGTGGATGCTGATGTGGATGCTATATGGCTGACATTGCAGGAACATTGCACTGATGTGGATGCTATATCTGAAGGAACGGTACTAGTGGCTGACATTGCAGGATTGGATGCTGATGTCTGCTATATCTGAAGGAACAGTACTAGTGGCTGACATTGGAGTGGATGCTGATGTGGATGCTATATCTGAAGGAACAGTACTAGTGGCTGACATTGCAGGAGTGGATGCTGATGTGGATGCTATATCTGAAGGAACGGTACTAGTGGCTGACATTGCAGGAGTGGATGCTTGTGGATGCTATATCTGAAGGAACTGTACTAGTGGACATTGCAGGAGTGGATGCTGATGTGGATGCTATATCTGAAGGAACAGTACTAGTGGCTGACATTGCAGGAGTGGATGCTGATGTGGATGCTATATCTGAAGGAACAGTACTAGTGGCTGACATTGCAGGAGTGGATGCTGATGTGGATGCTATATCTGAAGGAACAGTACTAGTGGCTGACATTGCAGGAGTGGATGCTGATGTGGATGCTATATCTGAAGGAACAGCTATATGGCTGACATTGAGGAGTGGATGCTGATGTGGATGCTATATCTGAAGGAACAGGTACTAGTGGCTGACATTGCAGGAGTGGATGCTGATGTGGATGCTATATCTGAAGGAACAGTACTAGTGGCTGACATTGCAGGAGTGGATGCTGATGTGGATGCTATATCTGAAGGAACAGTACTAGTGGGCTGACATTGCAGGAGTGGATGCTGATGTGGATGCTATATCTGAAGGAACAGTACTAGTGGCTGACATTGCAGGAGTGGATGCTGATCTGGATGCTATATCTGAAGGAATATCTGAAGGAAACGGTACTAGTGGCTGACATTGAAGGAATGGAGATGTGGATGCTATTCTGAAGGAACAGTACTAGTGGCTGACATTGCTATATGCTGATGGGATGCTATATCTGAAGGAACGGTACTAGTGGCTGACATTGCAGGAGTGGATGCTGATGTGGATGCTATATCTGAAGGAACAGGTACTAGTGGCTGACATTGCAGGAGTGGATGCTGATGTGGATGCTATATCTGAAGGAACGGTACTAGTGGCTGACATTCAGTAGTGGATGCTGAGGTGGATGCTATATCTGAAGGAACGGTACTAGTGGCTGACATTCAGTAGTGGATGCTGATGTGGATGCTATATCTGAAGGAACAGTACTAGTGGCTGACATTCAGATGGATGGATATGGATGCTGATTCAGGAGTGGATGCTATATCTGAAGGAACGGTACTAGTGGCTGACATTGCAGGAGTGGATGCTGATGTGGATGCTATATCTGAAGGAATTCAGGTAGTGGACATTGGATTCTGATGGTGGATGTGGATGCTATATCTGAAGGAACAGTACTAGTGGCTGACATTCAGGAGTGGATGCTGATGTGGATGCTATATCTGAAGGAACGGTACTAGTGGCTGACATTGCAGGAGTGGATGCTGATGTGGATGCTATATCTGAAGGAACGGTACTAGTGGCTGACATTGCAGGAGTGGATGGATGTGGATGCTATATCTGAAGGAACAGTACTAGTGGCTGACATTCAGGAACGTTTGGAAGGAACGGTACTAGTGGCTGACATTCAGGAGTGGATGCTGATGTGGATGCTATATCTGAAGGAACGGTACTAGTGGCTGACATTCAGGAGTGGATGCTGATGTGATGTGGATGCTATATCTGAAGGAACAGTACTAGTGGCTGACATTGCAGGAGTGGATGCTGATGTGGATGCTATATCTGAAGGAACGGTACTAGTGGCTGACATTGCAGGAGTGGATGCTGATGTGGATGCTATATCTGAAGGAACAGTACTAGTGGCTGACATTGCAGGAGTGGATGCTGATGTGGATGCTATATCTGAAGGAACAGTACTAGTGGCTGACATTCAGGGAGTGGATGCTGATGTGGATGCTATATCTGAAGGAACAGTACTAGTGGCTGACATTGCAGGAGTGGATGCTGATGTGGATGCTATATCTGAAGGAACGGTACTAGTGGCTGACATTGCAGGAGTGGATGCTGATGATGCTATATCTGAAGGAACGGTACTAGTGGCTGACATTGCAGGAGGATGCTATATCTGAGGAACAGTACTAGTGGCTGACATTCAGGAGTGGATGCTGATGTGGATGCTATATCTGAAGGAACAGTACTAGTGTGGGCTGACATTGCAGGAGTGGATGCTGATGTGGATGCTATATCTGAAGGAACAGTACTAGTGGCTGACATTGCAGGAGTGGATGCTGATGTGGATGCTATATCTGAAGGAACAGTACTAGTGGCTGACATTGGGAGTGGAGGCTGATGATGCTATATCTGAAGGAACAGTACTAGTGGCTGGCTGACATTCTGAGGAGTGGATTCTGATGTGGATGCTATATCTGAAGGAACGGTACTAGTGGCTGACATTGCAGGAGTGGATGCTGATGTGGATGCTATATCTGAAGGAACAGGTACTAGTGGCTGACATTCAGGAGTGGATGCTGATGTGGATGCTATATCTGAAGGAACAGTACTAGTGGCTGACATTGCAGGAGTGGATGCTGATGTGGATGCTATATCTGAAGGAACGGTACTAGTGGCTGACATTGCAGGAGTGGATGCTGATGTGGATGCTATATCTGAAGGAACGGTACTAGTGGCTGACATTGCAGGAGTGGATGCTGATGTGGATGCTATATCTGAAGGAACAGTACTAGTGGCTGACATTGCAGGAGTGGATGCTGATGTGGATGCTATATCTGAAGGAACAGTACTAGTGGCTGACATTGCAGGAGTGGATGCTGATGTGGATGCTATATCTGAAGGAACAGTAGTAGTGGCTGACATTGGAGGAGTGGAGTGGCTGACATTGCAGGAACAGTGGATGGCTGATGTGGATGCTATATCTGAAGGAACAGAACTAGTGGCTGACATTGCAGGAGTGGATGCTGACTATATCTGAAGGAACGGTACTTGTGGCTGACATTCAGGAGTGGATGCTGATGTGGATGCTATATCTGAAGGAACAGTACTAGTGGCTGACATTGCAGGAGTGGATGCTGATGTGGATGCTATATCTGAAGGAACGGTACTAGTGGCTGACATTGCAGGAGTGGATGCTGATGTGGATGCTATATCTGAAGGAACGGTACTAGTGGCTGACATTGCAGGAGTGGATGCTGATGTGGATGCTATATCTGAAGGAACGGTACTAGTGGCTGACATTCAGGAGTGGATGCTGATGCTATATCTGAAGGAACGGTACTAGTGGCTGACATTGCAGGAGTGGATGCTGATGTGGATGCTATATCTGAAGGAACAGTACTAGTGGCTGACATTGCAGGAGTGGATGCTGATGTGGATGCTATATCTGAAGGAACGGTACTAGTGGCTGACATTGCAGGAGTGGATGCTGATGGATGGATGCTATATCTGAAGGAACAGTACTAGTGGCTGACATTGCAGGAGTGGATGCTGATGTGGATGCTACTATCTGAAGGAACAGTACTAGTGGCTGACATTGCAGGAGTGGATGCATTCATGTGGATGCTATATCTGAAGGAAGGAACGGTACTAGTGGCTGACATTGCAGGAGTGGATGCTATATCTGAAGGAACGGTACTATATCTGAAATTCACAGGAGTGGACTGAGTGGATGATATCTGAAGGAACAGTACTAGTGGCTGACATGCTGGATGGATGCTGGATGCTATGCTATATCTGAAGGAACGGTACTAGTGGCTGACATTGCAGGAGTGGATGCTGATGTGGATGCTATATCTGAAGGAACGGTACTAGTGGCTGACATTCATTGCTGATATGCTATATCTGAAGGAACGGTACTGCTGACATTCAGGGGGATGCTATATCTGAAGGAACGGTACTAGTGGCTGACATTGCAGGAGTGGATGCTGATGTGGATGCTATATCTGAAGGAACAGTACTAGTGGCTGACATTGCAGGAGTGGATGCTGATGTGGATGCTATATCTGAAGGAACAGTACTAGTGGCTGACATTGCAGGAGTGGATGCTGATGTGGATGCTATATCTGAAGGAACGGTACTAGTGGCTGACATTGCAGGAGTGGATGCTGATGTGGATGCTATATCTGAAGGAACAGTACTAGTGGCTGACATTGCAGGAGTGGATGCTGATGTGGATGCTATATCTGAAGGAACGGTACTAGTGGCTGACATTGCAGGAGTGGATGCTGATGTGGATGCTATATCTGAAGGAACAGTACTAGTGGCTGACATTGCAGGAGGATGCTGATGTGGATGCTATCTGAAGGAACGGTACTAGTGGCTGACATTGCAGGAGTGGATGCTGATGTGGATGCTATATCTGAAGGAACAGTACTAGTGGCTGACATTGCAGGAGTGGATGCTGATGTGGATGCTATATCTGAAGGAACGGTACTAGTGGCTGACATTGCAGGAGTGGATGCTGATGTGGATGCTATATCTGAAGGAACAGTACTAGTGGCTGACATTGCAGGAGTGGATGCTGATGTGGATGCTATATCTGAAGGAACAGTACTTGTGGCTGACATTGGAGGAGTGGATGGCTGATGTGGATGCTATATCTGAAGGAACGGTACTAGTGGCTGACATTCAGGAGATGCTGATTGCTATATCTGAAGGAACAGTACTAGTGGCTGACATTCAGTGGATGCTGATGTGGATGCTATATCTGAAGGAACGGTACTAGTGGCTGACATTGCAGGAGTGGATGCTGATGACATTGATGGATGCTATATCTGAAGGAAGGAACAGTACTAGTGGCTGACATTGCAGGAGTGGATGCTGATGTGGATGCTATATCTGAAGGAACGGTACTAGTGGCTGACATTGCTAGGAGTGGATTCAGGAGTGATGCTGATGTGGATGCTATATCTGAAGGAACCGTTACTAGTGGCTGACATTGCAGGAGTGGATGCTGATGTGGATGCTATATCTGAAGGAACGGTACTAGTGGCTGACATTGCAGGGGGATGCTGATGTGGATGCTATATCTGAAGGAACAGTACTAGTGGCTGACATTGCAGGAGTGGATGCTGATGTGGATGCTATATCTGAAGGAACGACTAGTGGCTGACATTGCAGGAGTGGATGCTGATGTGGATGCTATATCTGAAGGAACAGTACTAGTGGCTGACATTGCAGGAGTGGATGCTGATGTGGATGCTATATCTGAAGGAACAGTACTAGTGGCTGACATTGCAGGAGTGGATGCTGATGTGGATGCTATATCTGAAGGAACGGTACTAGTGGCTGACATTGCAGGAGTGGATGCTGATGTGGATGCTATATCTGAAGGAACGGTACTAGTGGCTGACATTGCAGGTGGATGCTGATGAGATGCTATATCTGAAGGAACGGTACTAGTGGCTGACATTCAGGAGTGGATGCTGATGTGGATGCTATATCTGAAGGAACGGTACTAGTGGCTGATTGCAGGAGTGGATGCTGATGTATGGATGCTATATCTGAAGGAACAGACTAGTGGCTGACATTCAGGAGTGGATGCTATATCTGAAGGAACAGTACTAGTGGCTGACATTGCAGGAGTGGATGCTGATGTGGATGCTATATCTGAAGGAACGGTACTAGTGGCTGACATTGCAGGAGTGGATGCTGATGTGGATGCTGACTATTCTGAAGGAACATGTGGATGGAACGACATTGACATTCAGGAGTGGATGATGTGGATGCTATATCTGAAGGAACAGTACTAGTGGCTGACATTGCAGGAGTGGATGCTGATGTGGATGCTATATCTGAAGGAACGGTACTAGTGGCTGACATTGCAGGAGTGGATGCTGATGTGGATGCTATATCTGAAGGAACAGGTACTAGTGGCTGACATTCAGGAGTGGATGCTGATGTGGATGCTATATCTGAAGGAACGGTACTAGTGGCTGACATTGGAGGATGTGGATGCTGATCTGGATGCTATATCTGAAGGAACGATGTACTGAAGTGGCTGACATTTGGATGCTGAGTGGATGCTGGATGTGGCTGACATTGCAGGATGGATGCTATATCTGAAGGAACGGGAACGGTATAGTGGCTGACATTGCAGGAGTGGATGCTGATGTGGATGCTATATCTGAAGGAACGGTACTAGTGGCTGACATTGCAGGAGTGGATGCTGATGTGGATGCTATATCTGAAGGAACGGTACTAGTGGCTGACATTGCAGGAGTGGATGCTGATGTGGATGCTATATCTGAAGGAACGGTACTAGTGGGAATTGTAGGAGTGGAGTGGATGCTATCTGAACAGTACTAGTGGCTGACATTGCAGGAGAGTGATGCTGATGTGGATGCTATATCTGAAGGAACAGTACTAGTGGCTGACATTGCAGGATGTGGATGCTATATCTGAAGGAACGGTACTAGTGGCTGACATTGCAGGAGTGGATGCTGATGTGGATGCTATATCTGAAGGAACGGTACTAGTGGTTGACATTGCAGGAGTGGATGCTGATGTGGATGCTATATCTGAAGGAACGGTACTAGTGGCTGACATTGCAGGAGTGGATGCTGATGTGGATGCTATATCTGAAGGAACGGTACTAGTGGTTGACATTGCAGGAGTGGATGCTGATGTGGATGCTATATCTGAAGGAACGTGGTTACTGTGGATGCTATATTACTAGTGGCAGGATTCAGATGTGGATGCTATATCTGAAGGAACGGTACTAGTGGTTGACATTGGAGCAGTGGATGCTGATGTAGATGCTATATCTGAAGGAACCGTACTAGTGGTTGACATTGCAGGAGTGGATGCTGATGTGGATGCTATATCTGAAGGAACAGTACTAGTGGCTGACATTGCAGGAGGATGCTGATGTGGATGCTATATCTGAAGGAACGGTACTAGTGGCTGACATTGCAGGAGTGGATGCTGATGTAGATGCTATATCTGAAGGAACGGTACTAGTGGCTGACATTGCAGGAGTGGATGCTGATGTGGATGCTATATCTGAAGGAACGGTACTAGTGGTTGACATTGCAGGAGTGGATGCTGATGTAGATGCTATATCTGAAGGAACGGTACTAGTGGCTTGACATTGCAGGAGTGGATGCTGATGAAGGATGCTATATCTGAAGGAAGGAGTACTGATGTGGTGGTGAAGGAACATTGACATTGCAGGAGGATGCTGATGTAGATGCTATATCTGAAGGAACCGGAACGGTACTAGTGGCTGACATTGCAGGAGTGGATGCTGATGTGGATGCTATATCTGAAGGAACGGTACTAGTGGCTGACATTGCAGGAGTGGATGCTGATGTAGATGCTATATCTGAAGGAACGGTACTAGTGGCTGACATTGCAGGAGTGGATGCTGATGTAGATGCTATATCTGAAGGAACGGTACTAGTGGCTGACATTGGAGTGGATGCTTGATGGATGCTGATGTGGATGCTATATCTGAAGGAACCGTACTAGTGGCTGACATTGCAGGAGTGGATGCTGATGTGGATGCTATATCTGAAGGAACACTAGTACATTGCAGGAGTGGATGCTGATGTGGATGCTGAAGGAACATTGCTGACATTGAGTGGATGCTGATGTGGATGCTATATCTGAAGGAACAGTACTAGTGGCTGACATTGCAGGAGTGGATGCTGATGTGGATGCTATATCTGAAGGAACAGTACTAGTGGCTGACATTGAGGAGTGGATGCTGATGTAGATGCTATATCTGAAGGAACATAGTGGCTGACATTGCAGGAGTGGATGCTGATGTGGATGCTATATCTGAAGGAACCGTACTAGTGGCTGACATTGCAGGAGTGGATGCTGATGTGGATGCTATATCTGAAGGAACCGTACTAGTGGCTGACATTGCAGGAGTGGATGCTGATGTGGATGCTATATCTGAAGGAACCGTACTAGTGGCTGACATTGCAGGAGTGGATGCTGATGTGGATGCTATATCTGAAGGAACCGTACTAGTGGTTGACATTGCAGGAGTGGATGCTGATGTGCTATGCTATATCTGAAGGAACATTGCAGGACTAGTGGTTGACATTGGAAGGAACGTGGATGCTGATGTAGATGCTATATCTGAAGGAACCGTACTAGTGGTTGACATTGCAGGAGTGGATGCTGATGTAGATGCTATATCTGAAGGAACCGTACTAGTGGTTGACATTGCAGGAGTGGATGCTGATGTAGATGCTATATCTGAAGGAACCGTACTAGTGGGTTGCAGGAGTGGATGCATGTGCTATATCTGAAGGAACCGTACTAGTGGTTGACATTGCAGGAGTGGATGCTGATGTGGATGCTATATCTGAAGGAACAGTACTAGTGGTTGACATTGCAGGAGTGGATGCTGATGTAGATGCTATATCTGAAGGAACGGTACTAGTGGTTGACATTGCAGGAGTGGATGCTGATGTAGATGCTATATCTGAAGGAACGGTACTAGTGGCTGACATTGCAGGAGTGGATGCTGATGTGGATGCTATATCTGAAGGAACGGTACTAGTGGCTGACATTGCAGCAGTGGATGCTGATATGGATGCTATATCTGAAGGAACCGTACTGATGTGGATGACATTGCAGGAACGGATGCTGATGTAGATGCTATATCTGAAGGAACGAACTAGTGGCTGACATTGCAGGAGTGGATGCTGATGTGGATGACATCTGCAGGAACGGACTGTGGCTGACATTGCAGGATGGATGCTATATCTGAAGGAACCGTACTAGTGGTTGACATTGCAGCAGTGGATGCTGATGTGGATGCTATATCTGAAGGAACGGTACTAGTGGTTGACATTGCAGGAGTGGATGCTGATGTAGATGCTATATCTGAAGGAACCGTACTAGTGGTTGACATTGCAGGAGTGGATGCTGATGTAGATGCTATATCTGAAGGAACCGTACTAGTGGCTGACATTGCAGACATTGCTATATCTGAAGGAACACTAGTGGCTGACATTGCAGGAGTGGATGCTGATGTAGATGCTATATCTGAAGGAACCGTACTAGTGGTTGACATTGCAGCAGTGGATGCTGATGTAGATGCTATATCTGAAGGAACCGTACTAGTGGTTGACATTGCAGGAGTGGATGCTGATGTAGATGCTATATCTGAAGGAACCGTACTAGTGGTTGACATTGCAGGAGTGGATGCTGATGTAGATGCTATATCTGAAGGAACCGTACTAGTGGCTGACATTGCAGGAGTGGATGCTGATGTAGATGCTATATCTGAAGGAACCGTACTAGTGGCTGACATTGCAGGAGTGGATGCTGATGTAGATGCTATATCTGAAGGAACCGTACTAGTGGTTGACATTGCAGCAGTGGATGCTGATGTAGATGCTATATCTGAAGGAACCGTACTAGTGGTTGACATTGCAGGAGTGGATGCTGATGTGGATGCTATATCTGAAGGAACCGTACTAGTGGTTGACATTGCAGCAGTGGATGCTGATGTAGATGCTATATCTGAAGGAACCGTACTAGTGGTTGACATTGCAGGAGTGGATGCTGATGTAGATGCTATATCTGAAGGAACCGTACTAGTGGTTGACATTGCAGGAGTGGATGCTGATGTGGATGCTATATCTGAAGGAACCGTACTAGTGGTTGACATTGCAGGAGTGGATGCTGATGTAGATGCTATATCTGAAGGAACCGTACTAGTGGTTGACATTGCAGGAACAGTGGATGCTGATGATGTCGATGCTATATCTGAAGGAACCGTACTAGTGGCTGACATTGCAGCAGTGGATGCTGATGTAGATGCTATATCTGAAGGAACCGTACTAGTGGCTGACATTGCAGGAGTGGATGCTGATGTTGATGCTATATCTGAAGGAACCGTACTAGTGGCTGACATTGCAGGAGTGGATGCTGATGTGGATGCTATATCTGAAGGAACCGTACTAGTGGTTGACATTGCAGGAGTGGATGCTGATGTGGATGCTATATCTGAAGGAACAGTACTAGTGGCTGACATTGCAGGAGTGGATGCTGATGTGGATGCTATATCTGAAGGAACCGTACTAGTGGTTGACATTGACATTGCATGCTATATCTGAAGGAACCGTACTATGGCTGACATTGATGGATGCTGATGTAGATGCTATATCTGAAGGAACCGTACTAGTGGTTGACATTGCAGGAGTGGATGCTGATGTGGATGCTATATCTGAAGGAACCGTACTAGTGGTTGACATTGCAGGAGTGGATGCTGATGTAGATGCTATATCTGAAGGAACCGTACTAGTGGTTGACATTGCAGGAGTGGATGCTGATGTAGATGCTATATCTGAAGGAACCGTACTAGTGGTTGACATTGCAGGAGTGGATGCTGATGTAGATGCTATATCTGAAGGAACCGTACTAGTGGCTGACATTGCAGGAGTGGATGCTGATGTAGATGCTATATCTGAAGGAACCGTACTAGTGGCTGACATTGCAGTGGATGCTGATGTGGATGCTATATCTGAAGGAACCGTAGTGGTTGACATTGGATGGATGCTGATGTAGATGCTATATCTGAAGGAACCGTACTAGTGGTTGACATTGCAGGAGTGGATGCTGATGTAGATGCTATATCTGAAGGAACCGTACTAGTGGTTGACATTGCAGGGAGTGGATGCTGATGTAGATGCTATATCTGAAGGAACCGTACTAGTGGTTGACATTGCATATCTGGAGTGGATGCTGATGTAGATGCTATATCTGAAGGAACCGTACTAGTGGCTGACATTGCAGGAGTGGATGCTGATGTGGATGCTATATCTGAAGGAACCGTACTAGTGGTTGACATTGCAGGAGTGGATGCTGATGTGGATGCTATATCTGAAGGAACCGTACTAGTGGTTGACATTGCAGGAGTGGATGCTGATATGTAATGCTATATCTGAAGGAACGGTATCTGAAGGAAGGGAGGATGCTGATGTGGATGCTATATCTGAAGGAACCACTGGTTGACATTGCAGGAGTGGATGCTGATGTGGATGCTATATCTGAAGGAACCGTACTAGTGGTTGACATTGCAGGAGTGGATGCTGATGTTAATGCTATATCTGAAGGAACCGTACTAGTGGCTGACATTGCAGGAGTGGATGCTGATGTAGATGCTATTGCAACCGTAGTGGATTGCTGATGGATGCTGATGTAGATGCTATATCTGAAGGAACCGTACTAGTGGTTGACATTGCAGGAGTGGATGCTGATGTGGATGCTATATCTGAATTGGAACGTACTATATGGAAGGAACATTGCAGGCAGTGGATGCTGATGTGGATGCTATATCTGAAGGAACCGTACTAGTGGTTGACATTGCAGCAGTGGATGCTGATGATGTAGATGCTATATCTGAAGGAACCGTACTAGTGGTTGACATTGCAGGAGTGGATGCTGATGTAGATGCTATATCTGAAGGAACCGTACTAGTGGTTGACATTGCAGCAGTGGATGCTGATGTAGATGCTATATCTGAAGGAACCGTACTAGTGGTTGACATTGCAGGAGTGGATGCTGATGTTAATGCTATATATCTGAAGGAACCGTACTAGTGGCTGACATTGACAGCAGTGGATGCTGATGTAGATGCTATATCTGAAGGAACCGTACTAGTGGTTGACATTGCAGGAGTGGATGCTGATGTTAATGCTATATCTGAAGGAACCGTACTAGTGGTTGACATTGCAGCAGTGGATGCTGATGTTAATGCTATATCTGAAGGAACCGTACTAGTGGTTGACATTGCAGGGATGCTGATGATGCTGCTATCTGAAGGAACCGTACTAGTGGCTGACATTGCAGGAGTGGATGCTGATGTGGATGCTATATATCTGAAGGAACCGTACTAGTGGTTGACATTGCAGGAGTGGATGCTGATGTTAATGCTATATCTGAAGGAACCGTACTAGTGGTTGACATTGCAGGAGTGGATGCTGATGTAGATGCTATATCTGAAGGAACCGTACTAGTGGCTGACATTGCAGGAGTGGATGCTGATGTTAATGCTATATCTGAAGGAACCGTACTAGTGGTTGACATTGCAGGAGTGGATGCTGATGTTAATGCTATATCTGAAGGAACCGTACTAGTGGCTGACATTGCAGGAGTGGATGCTGATGTTGATGCTATATCTGAAGGAACAGTACTAGTGGCTGACATTGCAGGAGTGGATGCTGATTTAATGCTATATCTGAAGGAACCGTACTAGTGGTTGACATTGCATGGATGCTGATGATGAACTACTATATCTGAAGGAACAAGTACTAGTGGCTGACATTGCAGGAGTGGATGCTGATGTTGATGCTATATCTGAAGGAACCGTACTAGTGGTTGACATTGCAGGAGTGGATGCTGATGTTAATGCTATATCTGAAGGAACAGTACTAGTGGCTGACATTGCAGGAGTGGATGCTGATGATGCTATATCTGAAGGAACCGTACTAGTGGTTGACATTGCAGGAGTGGATGCTGATGTAGATGCTATATCTGAAGGAACCGTACTAGTGGTTGACATTGCAGGAGTGGATGCTGATGTGATATCTGAAGGAACCGCTAGTGGCTGACATTGAAGGAGTGGAACCGTACTAGATGCTATATCTGAAGGAACCGTACTAGTGGTTGACATTGCAGGATGGATGATATAATGCTATATCTGAAGGAACCGTACTAGTGGCTGACATTGCAGGAGTGGATGCTGATGTTAATGCTATATCTGAAGGAACCGTACTAGTGGTTGACATTGCAGGAGTGGATGCTGATGTTAATGCTATATCTGAAGGAACCGTACTAGTGGTTGACATTGCAGCAGTGGATGCTGATGTTAATGCTATATCTGAAGGAACCGTACTAGTGGTTGACATTGCAGGAGTGGATGCTGATGTTAATGCTATATCTGAAGGAACCGTACTAGTGGATGCTGACATTCTGCAAGGAGTGGGATGCATTGAAGGAGTGGATGCTATATCTGAATCTGAACGGTACTAGTGGCTGACATTGCAGGAGTGGATGCTGATGTTGATGCTATATCTGAAGGAACCGTACTAGTGGTTGACATTGCAGGAGTGGATGCTGATATTAATGCTATATCTGAAGGAACGGTACTAGTGGCTGACATTGCAGGAGTGGATGCTGATATTAATGCTATATCTGAAGGAACCGTACTAGTGGCTGACATTGCAGGAGTGGATGCTGATATGGATGCTATATCTGAAGGAACGCTACTAGTGGCTGACATTGCAGGAGTGGATGCTGATATTAATGCTATATCTGAAGGAACAGTACTAGTGGTTGACATTGCAGGAGTGGATGCTGATGTAGATGCTATATCTGAAGGAACCGTACTAGTGGTTGACATTGCAGGAGTGGATGCTGATGTAGATGCTATATCTGAAGGAACCGTACTAGTGGTTGACATTGCAGCAGTGGATGCTGATGATATGCTATATCTGAAGGAACCGTACTAGTGGATGACATTGCAGGAGTGGATGCTGATATCTGAAGGAACAGTATGGCTGAAGAACCGGGGATGCTGACTGCTAGTGGAAGGAACTGACATTGCAGGAGTGGATGCTGATGTTGGATGCTATATCTGAAGGAACCGTACTAGTGGTTGACATTGCAGGAGTGGATGCTGATGTGGATGCTATATCTGAAGGAACCGTACTAGTGGCTGACATTGCAGGGAGTGGATGCTGATGTTGATGCTATATCTGAAGGAACCGTACTAGTGGTTGACATTGCAGGAGTGGATGCTGATGTGGATGCTATATCTGAAGGAACCGTACTAGTGGCTGACATTGCAGGAGTGGATGCTGATATGGATGCTATATCTGAAGGAACAGTACTAGTGGCTGACATTGCAGCAGTGGATGCTGATGTAATGCTATATCTGAAGGAACCGTACTAGTGGCTGACATTGCAGGAGTGGATGCTGATGTCGATGATGCTATATCTGAAGAACATACTAGTGGTTGATGCTTGCAAGGAACGGTGGATGCTGATATGGATGCTATATCTGAAGGAACAGTACTAGTGGTTGACATTGCAGCAGTGGATGCTGATATTAATGCTATATCTGAAGGAACAGTACTAGTGGCTGACATTGCAGGAGTGGATGCTGATGTGGATGCTATATCTGAAGGAACCGTACTAGTGGTTGACATTGCAGGAGTGGATGCTGATATGGATGCTATATCTGAAGGAACCGTACTAGTGGTTGACATTGCAGCAGTGGATGCTGATATGGATGCTATATCTGAAGGAACCGTACTAGTGGTTGACATTGCAGCAGTGGATGCTGATATTAATGCTATATCTGAAGGAACTACTATGGCTGACATTGCAGGAGTGGATGCTGATGTTAATGCTATATCTGAAGGAACCGTACTAGTGGTTGACATTGCAGGAGTGGATGCTGATATGGATGCTATATCTGAAGGAACCGTACTAGTGGCTGACATTGCAGGAGTGGATGCTGATGATGCTATATCTGAAGGAACAGTACTAGTGGTTGACATTGCAGCAGTGGATGCTGATGTTATGCTATATCTGAAGGAACAGTACTAGTGGCTGACATTGCAGGAGTGGATGCTGATATTGATGCTATATCTGAAGGAACCGTACTAGTGGTTGACATTGCAGGAGTGGATGCTGATGTTAATGCTATATCTGAAGGAACCGTACTAGTGGTTGACATTGCAGGAGTGGATGCTGATATGGATGCTATATCTGAAGGAACAGTACTAGTGGCTGACATTGCAGGAGTGGATGCTGATATGGATGCTATATCTGAAGGAACAGTACTAGTGGCTGACATTGCAGCAGTGGATGCTGATATTAATGCTATATCTGAAGGAACATTACTAGTGGTTGACATTGCAGGAGTGGATGCTGATATGGATGCTATATCTGAAGGAACCGTACTAGTGGCTGACATTGCAGGAGTGGATGCTGATATGGATGCTATATCTGAAGGAACAGTACTAGTGGTTGACATTGCAGGAGTGGATGCTGATATTAATGCTATATCTGAAGGAACCGTACTAGTGGCTGACATTGCAGGAGTGGATGCTGATATGGATGCTATATGAAGGAACCGTACTAGTGGCTGACATTGCAGCAGTGGATGCTGATGGTGGATGCTATATCTATAGGAACCGTACTAGTGGCTGACATTGCAGCAGTGGATGCTGATATGGATGCTATATCTGAAGGAACCGTACTAGTGGTTGACATTGCAGGAGTGGATGCTGATATGGATGCTATATCTGAAGGAACCGTACTAGTGGTTGACATTGCAGCAGTGGATGCTGATATTAATGCTATATCTGAAGGAACCGTACTAGTGGTTTGACATTGCAGGATGCTATGGATGCTGATGGCTACATGCTATATCTGAATGCTATGAACCGTACTAGTGGTTGACATTGCAGGAGTGGATGCTGATATGGATGCTATATCTGAAGGAACAGTACTAGTGGCTGACATTGCAGCAGTGGATGCTGATATGGATGCTATATCTGAAGGAACCGTACTAGTGGCTGACATTGCAGCAGTGGATGCTGATATTAATGCTATATCTGAAGGAACCGTACTACTAGTGGTTGACATTGCAGCAGTGGATGCTGATATTAATGCTATATCTGAAGGAACCGTACTAGTGGTTGACATTGCAGCAGTGGATGCTGATATGGATGCTATATCTGAAGGAACCGTACTAGTGGTTGACATTGCAGGAGTGGATGCTGATATTAATGCTATATCTGAAGGAACCGTACTAGTGGCTGACATTGCAGCAGTGGATGCTATATGGATGCTATATCTGAAGGAACCGTACTAGTGGCTGACATTGCAGCAGTGGATGCTGATATTAATGCTATATCTGAAGGAACCGTACTAGTGGCTGACATTGCAGCAGTGGATGCTGATATTAATTGCTATATCTGAAGGAACCGTACTAGTGGTTGACATTGCAGCAGTGGATGCTGATATGGATGCTATATCTGAAGGAACCGTACTAGTGGCTGACATTGCAGGGAGTGGATGCTGATATTAATGCTATATCTGAAGGAACCGTACTAGTGGTTGACATTGCAGCAGTGGATGCTGATATGGATGCTATATCTGAAGGAACCGTACTAGTGGTTGACATTGCAGGAGTGGATGCTGATATGGATGCTATATCTGAAGGAACCGTACTAGTGGCTGACATTGCAGGAGTGGATGGTGATGGGATGCTATATCTGAAGGAACCGTACTAGTGGTTGACATTGCAGGAGTGGATGCTGATATGGATGCTATATCTGAAGGAACAGTACTGTGGTTGACATTGCAGCAGTGGATGCTGATATGGATGCTATATCTGAAGGAACCTACTAGTGGTTGACATTGCAGCAGTGGATGCTGATATTGATGCTATATCTGAAGGAACCGTACTTGTGGTTGACATTGCAGCAATGAACAGTGGATGCTGATATTGGATGCTATATCTGAAGGAACCGTACTAGTGGTTGACATTGCAGGGTGGATGCTGATATGGATGCTATATCTGAAGGAACCGTACTAGTGGCTGACATTGCAGGAGTGGATGCTGATATTAATGCTATATCTGAAGGAACCGGTACTAGTGGTTGACATTGCAGCAGTGGATGCTGATATGGATGCTATATCTGAAAGAACAGTACTAGTGGTTGACATTGCAGGAGTGGATGCTGATATGGATGCTATATCTCAATGAACGGTACTAGTGTCTGACATTACAGGAGTGGATGCTGATATGGATGCTATATCTGAAGGAACGGTACTAGTAACTTACATTGCAGCAGTGGCTGAGGATGTGGATACTATATCTGAAGGAAAAGTACTAGTGGCTGACATTGCAGAAGCAGATGCTGATATGGATGCTTCATCTAAAGGTACACTACTAGTGGCTGGCATTGCAGATGTGGATGCTGATATGGATGCTATATCTGAAGGAATTGTACTAGTGGCTGACATTGCAAAAGTGGATGCTGATATGGATGCTATATCTGAAGGAACCGTACTAGTGGCTGACATTGCAGGGTGGATGCTATGGATGCTATATCTGAAGGAACAGTACTAGTGGTTGACATTGCAAAAGTGGATGCTGAATTTATGCTATCTATCTGGAACAGTACCTAGTGGCTGACATTGCAGGAGTGGATTCTGAATGAATGCTATATCTGAATGAACGGTACTAGTGTCGGACATTACAAGAGTGGATGCTGATATGGATGCTATATCTGAAAGAACGGTACTAGTGGTTGACATTGCAGCGGTGGCTGGTGATCACTGGATGCTATATCTGAAAGAACGGTACTAGTGGCTGACATTCCAGGAAAAATGCTAATAAGGATGCTATATCTGAAAGAACTAGTACTAGTAGCTGACATTGCAGAAGTGGATGCTGGTATGGATGCTATATCTGAAGGAACAGTACTAGTGGCGGACATTGCATGAAGAGTGGATGCTCTTATGGATGCTATATCTGAAGGACTGTACTAGTGTCTGGTTGATATTTTATTGCAGGAGTGGATGCTAGATATGGATGCTATATCTGAAAGAACTTTATGTACTAGTGTAAACATTGCAGCAGTGGATGCTGATGTGGATGCTATATCTGAAGGAACCAGTACTAGTGGCTGACATTGCAGCAGTGGATGCTGATATGGATGCTTCATCTAAAGGTACACTACTAGTGGCTGGCATTGCAGATGTGGATGCTGATATGGATGCTATATCTGAAGGAATTGTACTAGTGGCTGACATTGCAGGAGTGGATGCTGATATGGATTCTATATCTGAAGGAACATTACTAGTGGCTGACAATGAATAAGAGGATGCTCATATGGATGCTATATCTCAATGAAGAGTACTAGTGGTTGACATTGCAGGAGCGGATGCCGATATAGATGCTATATCTGAAGGAACGGTACTAGTAGCTGACATTGCAGCAGTAGATGCTGATATGGCTGCTATATCTGAAGGAGCGGTACTAGTGCCTGACATTGCATGAGTAGATGCTGATATGGATATTAAATTTGAATGAACTTTACTAGTGCTGACATTGCAGGAGTGGATGCTGATATGGATGCTATATCTGAAGGAACAGTACTAATGGCTGACATTGCTGGTGTGAATGCTGATATGGATGTTATATCTCAATGAACAGTACTAGTGGCTGACATTGCAGCAGTGGCTGGTGGTGGGGATTTCTTGTCTCCGGGGTAGATCGACGTATTCCCCCTCCTTGGAGGATTGTACTCGGTTTATTTATCATCTCTCAGTACTTAGACAGACTGCGCTCAGGGGCTTCTCTCTCTAATGATGGAGGGGCAACTGAGAAAATAATACTGAGGTGCCCTCCCATTGCAACATATTTTTTTGAGAACGGGATCAGTGCTCGCACCGAGGCCCGCTAACAACCGCCATATGCAGGGGCTGTGGAGACATTTTCATGATTTGTCCCTGCCCGAGTGTATTTATTCCGGTCCCCCACATTAAACCGACCTTTGGTGTCATTATTTCGTTCTAGTGGTTGAACGAAAAATACCAAAGCGACGTTTTTGCTCCCCTTCTCACCTTCACCTGATGCTTTATGACCTCGTGGAAAATAAAAAATACATCTCAAGTGGTTATAAAAGCAAAGCATATCAGATTTATAAAGGATGTAAACATAAAATACCTGAAAGAAAATATCTAAAATAATTAAGTACAAATATACAAGCCAGTTATTGAACCAGAAAAATGAAATTATACTCAAATGTCATCATAAAATAAGTTTATATAGTCTTAAAAAAAGACATTTATTTTGCATCAAACACTGAAAAAATATACATTAGGTTTGTAACTATGTAAGTTTATATATATGTATGTATATATGTCTGTTTATGTATTGTAAATGTGTGTATCTATCTATTACTTTTATTACTATTATTCGTTACTTTCTCACAGACGTGATGTGGCTTCCCTCTGTCTTTTCTACAAATATTTTTATACAAACTGCATTGATGAGCATTTTTCCTAATAAATTGACTACATGAATTTAATTGTTTTACTAGATTGGCATCTAGGTTTCAACAATTTGTCTTACTAAAATTGAAATAAAAGTTAAATTAAATAACCGCCCTTCTAACAGTTTCTTTCCTCGCACTTCTCCATATTGGAACTCCATTCCTCTCACTTGCTTCCTGATAACTTCAATCATCAAAACCTAAATGCAACCTCAGTCACCATGTTTTTGTTGCGTTGATACCTGTTGTTTTTTCCTTTTTTCAATTCCCCCCAAACCTCTTTTCTCTCATTTTCACTTCCATAACCCCTGTGTGATAATGGCACTTCTGACTTGCTTTGGGTGAAATGCTTAAAAAAAAAACATTGAATATAAAATAATTAGGGTACTGACAAAAAAACATCTAATAAAAAATAATTAGGGTAGTTCTGAAAATAGCATCTACCACAATCAAATGTAAAAAGAAGGAACCAACAGCTAAAATAATTAAAAAATGCTCAATACAATTTATATATATATATATATATATATATATATATATATATATATATATATATATATATATAAGGTAGGATGTTTGTGTGTTTGTGTAACGAACGTATGGCCGCAATTTTCGACGGATTTGCACCAAAATTTACATGCACATACTCCAAGTTAGCGGGAAGGCTAAGACTGACTTTGCATTTTCCAACTCCCATCGATAGTTGAAAAAATCGATTTTTTCATGCTTCTACGGCAGTTTTCATGTAGTTTGCGGCCATTTTCTACTGGCCAGAGTGAGAGCTTATAGCTGGCTGCCACGAATAGGCAGGAAGATTCTATTGGCCAGCATGAGCGCCAACAGCTGACTGACACGAATGTTAACTAGCATGCTAGCATGCAAAAAAAAATCGATAGCTGCATTCGTCACAAGTGGGAAAATTTAAATCTGCATGGCACTTTACTCCAATTGGCTCATTCGCTTGCTTAAACTCAACGTTGATTCTGATTCCGCAGAACTGGGTTGGGTGTGAAAAAGTATTTGTTGTTAACATTCTTTTTTCATTCGGTTCTTCCAGTTAAGAGTTCTTTTTTTAAAGCTGATCGTTTTGTGTTCATTTTGTTTAGTTCTTTTTTCGTAACAGATTTAATGTTTAGTATAGAGCTTAGAAAAAATTCGCAGTGTGAGATAGGCAAGAAGTAAGGCATGTAGCAACATCAGCACGGCAAAGGGCACTCCTTTAAAGGCAAGGAAGGACAAAAATATTTTAAGTCAAGTGATAGCGATTGCTGTATGAGTCGTACGATTTTTGAATCAAGTACGGGCAACGCCGGGCTATGCCGCTAGTAAATTCATAATCTTAAATAACCGCTATATGCTTACCGTACAAGTGTTCAATGTTGTGGTTGAATCTCAGGTTCAATCACTAATAATCTATACATAGCCCTATACCTGGGTTCATATACAATGTATAAATATAACCAATAATCATATTATGACATATTTTCACCAATCGCAATACGCTTGGATTGTCGTAGCAATTTCTACTTTTAGTATTTCCTAAAAAGGGACCTCTGTAACACAAATTACAGATTAGAATGGCGCCCCTATGCTCGTGGGGCCCCCGGGCAATTGTCCATCAGGCACATGCGTTGTCGGCTCTGCACATATCAATGCGTACTTTTGAGAGCAACAGGGGTTTTCGATCCTCTGACTACTTTTTTTGTTTTTGATCTTTGTTTTTTTAATTTCCTACCGAAACGATGCGGCTATGAATGGATGGACTATAGATCATTCTCACTAAAAAATAAATGCTTTAAAAAACATTGATTTCATTAGGTTGGTGAAAGGGAAAAATTTAAAATTTTTAAAATTAAACGACTTTACTCGTTATGACTGGTTTCAGAAAGATGACTTTTTCTGTCTTTCCCCGCCCAAATAATGCTGATAATGCTTGAGCTAAACAGCAAGAATATTTTCTCTACTCAGATCAAGCCATCAGCTACATATAAGGATCAACGTTTAGAGGAGTTATCCCCCTTAGACGATGCAACTCGATTGCCTGCTAGTTTGCTCCTATTTATATGACTAGATTCTTACAGTGGATGTAATGGGTGACGTTAATGATACAGAATCCTTTTTAGACGACCTTTATCACTTCGCCAACGAGGAACCTGTTATCAGTACCAAACGACAAACCTGTCAGCGTTGTTGGTAAGACGACCTATTCTCAATGTTAATATTGTAAACCCGTGACTATAGCTTGGTTAGGATTGTTGTCACAAACTAAGTGCGACCTTTTAAAAATAAAGTACTTTCTTCCTTTATTGCTTGTTTTATCATTCTGCTTAAATGTTTATTTGATACTGACTATATCTCCCTAATTAAGCTTTGAGATTAGATTTGAATTACGTTTTTATGCTATTTTTAGTTTTATGACGCCAAATTTAAATTTAACAAAATTAATTAAATGTTTATTTCTTTAACAAAATATGCATTGTTATTGTGATACACACTACACTACAGTGAACAAAAAAATGTGTATCACTTTCCGCTTCAAATCGGAAGGGGGAAAAACCATGACTAGGTCAAGGGCACGTTTTTACATTTTCTTCTTACTCGATGCAAGGATAAAAAAAAACTCAAAAAAAATGTTGAACCATGAGAAAATTATTCATACACACGTGGTCACGACTACTACTCGTCATTAGTGTTTTACTTATTTTTTTTAGTAAATTTTGTTTTTGTATGTAAAAGTTCCAAAAGGATTTCAAAAAGTTTCTTTAAATGTCTTTTTTTTCTTTTTAGTTTTTTGGTTACATTTTTTTGCTTTTGGAAAATGAATTTAGCCAAGAACCTTTCAACTACCCACTTCTCATCATAGATGTTTCAATGTTCAACCTTGCATTATCACCGATGGGGGAAATGATTTCTGTGCCATCAGTACGTATTGTTAAGTTAGGGTTCAAACAAATTCTACAGTATTTTTTCGTAAAAACGAAGAAATTGGTATTTTTAGTAATTTAATTTTAAATTCATTTTTTTTTTTCCTCAACTAAGCCCTCTGGAAGTAATCCCATGTTTACTGTAATGCAGAAATCGTTTGAATCAGTAACCCGAAATAAAAGATAAGGTTGAAGCTACGAAAACAATAATTATTTCCATAGGAAGGGAAATGTTTTGCTTTTTAAAGACTAAAGAGAAATGCGGGGATGGGAGGAGGTTCATTTTCCTGATACTTTGAGCCCAAAAGATTTTCCCATATATAACAAAATATGTATGATATATGTGTACTTCTGTCTTTACAGGTATTAAATTAATTTTTTTTCCACTAAAATAAGTTAAAATTAGTTGAAATAATTTATAAATGAGAATGCTATCATCTCCAAACTAGATTACCATGAGGCTTGCAGACTTGATAGTATCCCTGCAATTGTCCTAAGGAAATGTGCTCCTGAACTGGCTCCTGTTCTCTCCAAACTCTACAACAAATGCCTTGCTACTTCTTGCTTGAAACCACCTCTTATAATTTCTCTCTTTAAGAACTTTGGCAAACATTCTGATCCCTCAAATTATCATCCTATTAGTCTTTTACCACTTTTTGGCAAAGTACTTGAGGCTCTAATCAACTCGACTTGGTTAAGCATCTTGCTTCACACTGCCTTTTGCAGAAATAAAACAAAATAGCTTTTGTTTCTCTAATCAACTGTCAATGTCTTATTACTGGATTTGTCTCAGATATCTTGAAAACATTTGGTAGGGTTTTTCATGCAGGTCTTCACAAACTCAAAGGCTATGGTGTCTCTGGCCAAATATTTGACTTAATCCAATTGGTCTTAACAAATTGCTTAATGAAGATTGTATTGAACAGCCACACTTCTAGATCCTTTCACATTAATGTAGATGTCTCTCAGAACTCTGTCCTGGAACCTACATTTTTTTTTCTCTTCAACAACCCAATGTCATCAGTTCCCAATGAGGTATTTAATCTGATAACACAACTATTTACTCTTGTCTTAATAAGTTTGATAGGTCCATCCAAGTAAAACTGGCATCTGCTCTTGAAACAAACCTACAATCAGTTGTTAACTGGAGCAAGAAATGACTTATAATTTTGAATGCCTCCAAAACTGCTATCTTTTAATCTTCATGAAAGAACCCTTTTTGCCTTCCATCAGCATGGCTGATGCTCGCCTCCAGGAGAGCAACTCATTGCACTCTTGGTTTCACATTTTCTATTTACATGATTATGAAGTAATTATATTGAATCAGTTGCTAGGTTTGCTGCTAGTTAGTTCATTGTGTCATACCAGACAATTTTTCTCAACAGAATCCATCTTGCACATTTATAAATCTGCCATCCGTGCATTGAATATTGTTGCCATATCTGATCAGGTGCTACATATCTTGAGATTCTTGACAACATTCAAAGAAGGGTCTGTAAAATGATCAATCCTGACCTGGCATCTTGATACCACTCCCTTTCCCACAGCTATGACATGACTTCCCTCTGACTTTTCTATAAATAGGAGAAAATATGAAAATCATATTTTCTCCTAGGTACATTGACCACATAAATGTAAGCATATTGCTAGATTGTCAACTAGGTCTCCTCATTTTACTGTTTAAATAGTTAGATGCAACTGTAAGTTCTATTCTAATAGCTTTTTTTTTTCTTGCCTGTGGAACTCTCATCCAGTCTCTTGCGTCCCTGTCCCCTATAATCTTAAAAAATTAAATACATCGATCACATCTTCTGTCTTCCTGACCCCTGTTCTTTTATTGTCCTTTCTCCTCACTAAAGTCTTCTCATTCTTTTTCACTTCCAGTAACCTCTTGTCTCTTAGTGGAATTATAACCTCACTTGGGGTGAAATAATTTAAAAAATATATATCCAAAGGAGAGCTCTGAATATGAGGCTATTTCAAAAGTTTAAAGGGAATGTAAGGGAAATAATGTTTGTTGTATTGAAGCTGTTTAAAAGCTAAATTTAACAATACAATTATTTTTTATTTATTTATTTTTTTTTTTTTTTTTAACTGAAGAAATTTCAAAATTGCAAAAGGTTGATTTTGAATATCTGATCTTGAGAATATAATTTCATCTCTGGTTTTGAGGAAAAATTAACTGACAGATGTAACCTTTGTGTCACTAAACATCAATCACTGCACATTAAAAACTCATATCTCTTAAAATTAATTGTAATAAGTTTATAATCATAATAATCATTTATATTATAATCATAATAATCATTTGCATAATTAAATGTTGAGTTTGTTTATTCATGTCCTGTATGGTTACCTATCATTGTTCAGATAACTGAATAAATAATTTATCTGTTCAAGTTGTGTGCAATCATGGCTCTTCACAACTTCCTGTTTGGTTAATATCATTTTTTACCTCTTACCAGTCCTCTTTGTCTCTATTCTACCATCCATTCGCACAAGCTTGTTAAATAGGTTACTCAGGGTTTAACTGATCATTCTCTTTCCTTCAGCAGGATGTGTGGGTTGTGTAATGAATGGCAACTAACAATGTTTGGTGTCTCCACAATATGAATTCTTTGTTTTCAAAGATACATGCAGAATATGCCAATTATATATGAGATAATAAATTGTATTGGTCAAAAATTGGTACTTTCTGGTATTGCTGTGTGTATAGTTTTATAACTCCAATGTCTCCAAAAATGTCAGCCAAATCATTGTGTTAAAATTATATGTGAGAGGGCAGTGACCCTGATGGAGTCATCATAGCACATGAAATGTCATTTAGTACTGAGAAAGCCAAGAATACTAGGTGAAAGAATAAAAATACCAAGTGGAAATAATTAGACTAGTTTATCAGATTGGAAAATGATGGAAAAAAGTCTGGTTTTAAAAATATTAACCAGAACCTATAAAATACTTAGGAGAATGTCATTTGTTGGATTTGAACCCAAAATATACCTTGTGAAATTTAGTAAATTCAGTACAAATGAATTTTTCCTTCTCTGCCTCTCATACTCAAGAAAGTTGTGGTAACAAGATTAATGTATTTATTCTGCAAAATCCAAACAAAATTTGGAAATGTTATTTTAGTACTTTACTAGTGGCATACAGAGGTTTGGTAATGCCTGGGGCCAACTCCGTGATTGTATGCCCTTAAGACTCAAGTACTATAGGGCCTAATACTGAGAAATGTGAGAAAGGAAGACATTTTAAATATGTAAAAATAGATGAAACATGAAATAAACATGTTATTCCAAAAACTAAATTTTATTTCACTCTTTGATTGGATGCCCTTCTGATATGGATGCCCAAAGTGGTTGCATCCTCTGCCACCCTCTCTTCTGTATGCTACTGCATCCTACCTAGCAAATTCACAATCAAAATTGCTGCAAAAGAGCTTTGATGCTCTATCTTTTTCTTCTCTTCTCAGTCCAAGAGAAATACCAACTCACAAGCACATGTGTCTAATGTAGCTATTATCCCTTTAACAATACCTCAGGTTTTTAGTGGAAAATTCAACCAAGTGTGATTGTAACATTTTTGAACAGCTTATACTATTAAATTGTTTGTGATTGTTATACTGTTTGTTTTTACATCTCTTCACCATTTAATTAAGCTTCCAGGAAAACAAAAATCTGCAGCTCATCAAATTGTACAAAAGAGTGCTTCAAGAAGTACATTTCAGTGTGTACACAATCAACACTAGACAACTTTATAGGAAGTGAAACCCTCAATGGATACAAAACATCTCCTGCCTGTAAAATGTGCTCTTCATTTGGTGCTAACAAGGTGAAAACTGCTACCACAGCTAACAAGAGTGTGTGTATATTGGGTGCCCCAACCAAGCAGATATACATATCTGACACTGTGGACAGGTGGCAGTGTCTAATGCTTTTTGCATCACTAAAAATGCCAAAAAAGGATGTCAACATAATTTTGATAAATGTTACAATTATAGATCAAAGCCTCAAACTGTTAATAGGTACCATATAACTTTGTAAAGTTTTTATTTATTTTTTCTTTTACAGTCGCCCTTTAAGTGTGTGTTGGTGCCCTTATTTACCACGTGAACCTATTCAATTGTCAACCTCTGTGTACGTCTTACAGCATCCATTTGAGGTGAGAGCACTTTTTTTTTTTCTTTTTTTTTTTTTTTTTTCAGTTCATTTCTCATTTGATCAAAATAGGGTTTTCAATTATTTCTTGTTTTTAACTTGACTTTAGTGTATATGATGTCCACTATCTATTCATATATGTCATGCTTTCTGTTTCTGCATCTAGCCAAATTTATGCTGATTCAGTCAAATACTCACAACTCATCAGAATTATCTTTGCCAGCTAGAAACAAGTATGATATGTGATATGCACATAACTCTGTCCATGTATGATGTTGTAATATGCATATAACTCTGTCCATGTTTTCTACTATCATCTCCATACTAGATCCCCACAAGGCTTGCAGTCTTGACAGTAACTTTCCAATTGTCCTAAAGAAATGTGCCCTGAACTGGTCCCTGTTCTCTCCAAACTCTACAACAAATGTCTTATTGCTTCTTGCTTTCCAGTTTGTTGGAAATCATCTTTTGTAGTTGCTGTTCTTAAGAACTGAAGTCTTGTCCTATCAGTTTTGGTTTTTTTTTACCTCTTTTGGGTAATATAAGCGTCTCCTTTCACACAGCTGTCATTCATATAAACAGTATGACTTCTGTTTCTGTAGATCAACCATTGATGTGTTAACACCTATTTCCAAATATTCTAGATTTTCAACTACTGTAGCATTGAATTACTTCCCTTTTTATTAATAAATATTTATAAGAGAATATTGAACATAACTGACTACAAATGAGACACTATGGGACAGTAACCTAGTGGATTAAAGTGTTGGTTTGTGAAATTGGTGACATAGTAATTGTGAGTTCAATCCCTGGTCTGGGCAATGTGTACTTGGATTCAGCAAAAACTGAGCAGGACTAAAAATAAGAACTAGATGAGATATTCCTAGATATGGACAATGGAACAAGAACAGTCAGTTCAGAATTGCCTGTAGGTTACCCAGATGATGAAGGCTGGAGGGTGCCATGGCCAAAACATTGTGATGACAACAAAGATGAAGACAATAATCCAAATGTAAATAGTGTAAATAATGATGACCCTCTCACCTCAGAAATTCAGGCAAAAAGAATACAAATGAGTCTTAGTTTTATTAAGTGTTTAATGTGTTGGGAATAAACTTTTAACCAAATATTAATTACTTCTAACTTGCAGTAAAGATGATTGTCTTTTAATGATAATCTTAACGTTATCTATCTTCTGGCATTGAATCTAAAGTTTGTGGAGAAGAGGACTGATCAATTTTATGCACATATTAACAAAAATAATTTTTTAGCTTTCATCTTTTATAATTGATCATAGTCATTGTATGTTTGGGAAATTCTCTTTATAAATTCATACAAAAAATGTTTAATTATTTTGAAAACCCTCTGTAATATTTTTGGAAAATATCAGAAATTGTCATGATTTTGTCTGGTGGTGGATGTAATTTAATTCATAGTAATGAAATCAATTATAGTTTTAAACACTTTTACATGTCTAGCAATAGTTTGGGTCATTGCATATTTACAGAAAAATTTTCATTTTTGTGTCTATGAATAATGTGATTTTTGTCTTACTAATAATCTTTATTTGTGTTTAAATTTGAGTGTCTATAAAATTTGTTTAGCATGAACAAATTCTAAAGCATTTTCTCTATTTTGACTTGATGTATTTAAAATTAAAATAATCTAGTGGAATCATTATTTTAATGTCCTTATTATAGGTTCTTTGTACAATTAAAAATTCTGTAGACCATCTGAAAAACATTTTTAAGTGCCCAGTGTTTCTAAACAATTTGGAACAAAGATAGAATCAAGCCTAAAATAGTTTATTTGCATAGAAAATTATAGAGATACCAACTGTCAGCTTAATATTTTCTTAAATATCAAAGATGCCAAAACCACAATTTCATAACTTTTCTAGAAAAATAATTTAACCCAAGACAGAAATTTGTCCATAAAACAAACCTTCTGTCACATGTAAGAATATGTGGCAAAAAAAAAAAACGTTTTCTTAAACTGCCTAATTGGTTTGCTGATGTCATGAAAATAGGCAATTTTAAGGATGTTAAAAAAAAAAATTGAAATTTTCAAACAGGAATGAATGTGGTTACTGTGCAGAAATAATATTTTAGGTCATAAATAACAGGAAAACTAATTTGGATGCTGTATCTGACATACTTTGTAGATGAGTCTCTTTGCATTTTGGCATTTCATTCATTTTCATGTCATTCTCAAAATATAATTGCTTTCTATGAACAAATTCTGATGCATTTTGACTATTTTGACTTGATGTATTTAAAATTATAATAATCTAGTGGAATCTTTATTTTAATGTCCTTAGTTTAAGTTCTTTGTACAGTTAAAAAAATTTGTAAACCATTTAGAAAAAAAAAAAAATTTCATGAACATATTTCATATTATCTAAACTCTTTGGCACAAAGATAAACTGAAGCCAAAAATAGTTTATTTGCATAGGGAATTATATGTGTAAAAACTTTCAACTTCATATTTTCTTAAATATCAAATCTAAAGTGGCAGAGTGAACAAAACCATGATTTTGGCTTGACAAGCTCTCCTAGAAAAATGTTTTAGCCTAGACCAGAAGTTTGTACACAAAGTGAAACTCCTAATGATCTTCAGACATTAAGAATATATGGTAAAAATATAAAATCTTTCTTAAATTGCCTAGTTAGTCTGCTGATGTCATGAAAATAGGTAATATTAAAGATGTTAAAAAAAAAATCAAACTATTTTCAAACAGTAGTACTGACATTCCTATAACAGGGATGAATATGGTTACAGCATAGAAATAATCTATTAGGTCATAAATGACAGGAAAACTAATTTTGATGCTCTATCTGACATGCGTCGTAAATCCATCGTGTACATTTATAAATTACTTTCATTTTGCATTTTGGCCATTATAGGTCCTTAGGTCAGGTCCTTATAAAAAATAAAAGTATATAAACTTTTTATCATTTTGTAATCTGCAGTTAATATTAACTATTGTCACCGAGTTTCAACTCTGTACATGCAAATATCCTTGAAGCTATGAATGTCAGAAATTCCTTGAAAACCTTATTTCCCAAAACACAAAAAATGCAGCAAAATTTCAAGATGCTCTGATTTTAAAACTATTAAAGATACAAATCAAATATTTTGAATTTATCATTTTATTTGATCTAGTTCAGTAACACTCTATTTTGTTTTTCAGGACAACCAATGTCTTCGCACAGGACCAATGTTATACCACAGTCTGCCTCCTGGAAAATGTCATATCATCCGTGGAAAAAGATTCTCCCCAGAAAAGTAAATTCCATGTTGGCATTTTATGTTGTTTGCATTTCCTGAAGGAACTAATCTCTACCAGATGTGTTTATTTCATGGCGCTTAATACAAGTAAATGATTGTTAAAGGTTTGGGAATCCACACAATTAGTTAGCAAAGGAAGATGCAAGGCTAGAAATTAAATCTCCAAAATATAACTGTATTTTAATATTTAATATACAATTCTATATTTGGATTTGAGCAACTCTTAATACTGAATACTGCTAATTGATGCTAACCTCCAGGAGAGCCATATCAGGATAAAGGGTAAAAAAAAGAATAGACTCAGCAACCAAATTGGCTCTAGATTTAAAGCCCAAGTTTGAGATCCCTTATACCGATCTGAAACTCCAAATCAACAGATTCCTCCATACAGAATGGCAGTTGTGCTGGAATAAAAACATCCACAATAAACTTTTTCTGTCAAACCCTCCTTGGTAGAGTGGAAATCATCTTTTAGAAAAACTATTACAACTATATATTGGTCACACCAAACTTACACACTCATTTATACTTAAATAAGAACCACAACCAAAATGCACAAACTGCCAAACCCCCTACACTGTAAAACACATTCTCATAGAATGTGATGCTCTTACTCAAATAAGAAAACAATTGCCTTTGTCATTTGTATAAATATTTTCATGGTAATTGTTCTGATGAGCTTTCCTCTTTGGTATCTAGACTTTACAAATTTAAGTGCACTACTTGATTGGCAGCTAGGTGTTATAATTTCCCTGTTGAAATTGTTAGATATAACTAAGTTTTATGCTAACAGTTTCTTCTCTCATACTTCTTGCTTTGGAACTCTCTTCTGGTTTCTTACTTTTCAGTCAACTTTGATTTTCAAAAGTTTAAATGCAATCTCTTCTGTCTTAATTCCTGTTCTTTTATTGTTCTCTTTCCTGGATTTTTTTTTCTCTTTCACACTCAATAATCCCTTGTGTCCTAGTGGTTTTATTGCTTTGCTTGGCAGTGAAACGATTACCTTTTACATGGAGTCCTTTCACAAGGTTTGAAAGTTTTTTTTGGTCTTTTACACAACTCATCTGCTCACATCCATGTTATTTATTTTCATTTTGAGGGCAGGGGTAATAATGAATTGAACTCTCAAAGGCTTATTTCACTTTATAATCCAGATTTGTAGTTGGACATGATGCTTCCAAAGTCAATTTGAATATTGTCATTAGATTTTATAGCATGTTAAGTATAGTGGTCCCTAATTTAGCTGCAGTTTCAATTACCCACAGTGGACCCTAGCAATAAACAGTTCATAAGTTTTATTTAATAATGGTCCAATGTGCATAAGGGATGGTGCCAGATATTCAGAAAATACCAAAGAGAAGCCATCAAGTGTTTTCTTTAAAGTGAAAAGGTGAAAGTTCTCAATAAGAATAATTATATGCTGAAATTGCTAAGATGCTATAAAACTGTTATAAAGCTTTTATTGCAATATGTTATAATTGTTTTATTTTGAATACTGTATATACTTGAGTATACTTCTTATGATCAGTTTCTTTCACAAAAAAGGGGTGTGTGTACTATACATAGATACTTTTTATTTTTTTTTTAGAAAAGGTTAAAAATCATGCATTTTCAGTGACCAGTTGCACTATACACAGGTGAAAATTTTTCTGGTTAAAATTCATGCAAAAAATTCAGGGATCACACTATACATGAAGTCTGCTTATACACAAGTATATAGAGTAGTTATTGTTATTAGTCACTTTTTGCTCTGGTAGCATGCCCTTAGCTCTGTGGCATGAACAAACTTATCTATTATGTAACATTATGCATTATTCTAATTGTTAATTTTATTATTACTTATTACTATCAATCCCTTATTGTGTCTAATATTATGTAAATGAAACTTTCACAGATACACATGTATAGGAAAACCATACGTATAGTTTGATATCAACCACTGAAGTTCTTGGAACATGTCTACGGCAAATGAGGTGTGGATTACTGTATAATGAATTGATGGTAACGCACAAATAGTAGTTGGGAATAGTGTTTTTACCAAATAGTTGTATTACAAAACTTGAATGGATAGAAATATAAATATAAGTTTTCTGCTCAAGAAAGAAAGGGATCAAAAATAAATTCTGATGTTTGTCCATTTGGGTAGTGGTTTGAACCATGAAATTTTCAACACCTTTTTTTAGTTAATGTGAATAAAAACTCTACATTAAAAGACTGGATAAGCAAACTGTCAAATGCAACTCAAAAATGGTAGTTAAAAACTTTTAGTATACATGGTGTGAGAATTTAATTCCCAGAATATCCATAGAGTATCACTGGGGTAATGAGTCTGGCAGACATTTGTGCTCAAATATATCCAGATATGTTACAACTTCCACTTTAACATGCAGACCAAATGAGTCATTTATTGTTGAGCAGTAGAGGAAGTTGTATGTCTTCATGTTATACTGTTGATAGAAAATGAGTGAAAGAAATCTAGGAAGGCATATTGACATCAAATTTGGTTTGAAAATTAGTAAAAGTGTGAGCAAAATGTTAGCCTTATTAAAATTATCTTACGGTGAATATGCTATGAAGAATATCTGTCTATATCTCTGAGGTATTATGATTACTTGCATTATTTACATTATTCAGGCTGTTATCCTCATCTCCATGCCATATTCACGTTTCAGCCATTGTATGGTCCAGCTTTCTTCAGGTGATTGGAATTTTGAATGACCCTTTATTCAGTGGATGAAATAAAGGGTTTGGTTTGAAATTCCAATCATCTAAAGAAGACTGGCGCGTATAATGGCTGACATGTTGTGAATATGGCAATGAAAATGAGGATGACAGTCTGGATAATGCAAGTAATGCTATGAAGAAATCAAATGTTTTTGAGCAACAGTTAAGGAAGGGTAAGAAGTTGTGCACAATGATGTCAGGCATAAGAAGTCAAAAATAAAATGTTTATCTGGAAATACTAAAACCATTATGACAATCTGTTCAGAGGAAAAGACCAGGATTCTGGCTTGGCAAGTGGATTCTTTACCCTACCACCCCCTATCCTACAGATAAAATGTTGCTCGCCTCTATCTCTGTTATGATGATAAATGTTCAAACAAGTTACATCCATTAGTTCCACCAGCTCAAACCTTCACAGCAAGGACTCCCCATGCCATGTCCATGGTGGTAAACCATCCCCAATCCTTTTGTGTTTCTTTGATAAAAAGCAAATTCCCCTCAAACACGTTCTTCACCAGAGTTGTTACATTGTGGGACAAACTACCTGAGAGGATGTTTCCCTGACAATCTTGGTCTCCTTAAGACCAGAGTCAACCAATATCTATCTTACAAGTTCTCATAATATGAATTTCTTACTTCTTCCTTCCAACTCCCTTACAACAATCTCAGTCAGTAACCATCTACAGTGGGCTTTTGGCTTTGTATTACATAAACAGTATATAAAAAAAAAAATGAGTGCTTCTACAAAGGATGCATTAGGAGTTCGCAAGTTCTTAACTAAGAAATTCATTACAAATATGAGCTCTTCGCCTTTATTCATCAGATTTATCAACCTGTGACTCTTGGCTATTTCAACAATAGAAATATATTTGTCTTGTCTGGTTTTCACATGTCTGTATGTTGAAAGGGCCTCTCTTACTGAGAAAAACATTGGTGTTATATAGCTCTCCCAGTCCCAGACTCACACTGACTATTGGCTAATACCTACCCAGTATCATTCAAATAAATAGTCAGCACCACCTACTCTAAGTAGAAGGTCTTCTCAACAGCCCATTGTGGAAGGGGACACAACTCCTGGTGTTTACAGCACCACATACAACCAAGTTGGAGTTTTTATTGGATTGAACTGATTCTCTTTCACAAAAAATTACCCTGAAATGAAGATTTGCTAACATCTAGCAACACAGGTCTACATTTCTAAAAGTTATTACAGAAAACATCTTCCAAGAATGTTTCCAGCAATGGCACCATCTCATTAAGTGCATAACTTTACAATTGATGTACTTTGAAGTTGACAGACTTCCAGTAATGACCAAGAACACTTTTCTTACACAGGGTTATTCCAGTAATGACCATAGCAACAGCTTAAGCTTTTTGATGCCAAAATTCTGTGATTATTTTTTTATATGCTTTTACATGTTTTTTTTTTCTCCAGGTATCCTGAATTAGCCAGTGTGATGAAAGCTCCCAATACAATCTTGTTATATCCTGGAGTGGATGCAATAGATATTTGTGACTTATCACACCTTCCTGATGGCCAGGATATTGGCTACAATCTGGTGCTTTTAGATGGCACCTGGGCCCAAGCCAGAGGGCTCTATCATCAAAATGCCATGGTGAAATGGCCACAGAAGGTAGTTCAAAATATTTTTCTCATTTTCTTTCATCATACTTTAAACAATACATTAGAATTAAAGTCTCTGTTTCAATGAAAGCAGTGAAGTTAAGAGATCAAATCATGTCATCCCTGTTACTATAATAAAATTACTTGCAAGTCTTTCTAACTGAATTTCTGCATTATTTAGATACTGACTATTGTCCTCATCTTTGTTGTTGTTATCAGATCATTTCAGCTGTTTTGCCATCCAGCTTTCATCAGGTGTATATTGATCCAAGTAACCTACAAGGAATTCTGAACTGAACCCTTAATCTACAGCCCAGTGATTGAATTCAAAATTAATATATCCCTAAATTTATGAGGCAACACTTTAGTCTACTAAGCAGTGTGTACTTGGACTTAGTAGAAGCTGGGCGAACAATAACTGAGCAGTACTAAAAGTATGAACTAGACAAGATATCCCTAGACATGGGCATTGAAACGAAAACAATCTACCCCCATAGATTAAATAAAAACTTCAGTTCAGAATACCCTGTAGGTTACCTGGGTCAACATATGCCTGATGAAGGCCAGAGGGCATAATGGCTGAAACATCATGATAACAACAACAAATATGAGGACAATAGTCCGAATGTAAGTAGTGTAAATGCTGAAAGCCTTATACAAAGAAATCAGTTGCCGTTATACTCCTAACAATATCCCAGGCTGGATAGCATCATTATGAAGGAAGTACAGATATATGAAAAGCTTAATATTGGAACTCTAATGTTACCAGCTAAATATATCAATTACAAATGTGTGAAATGTCCAGTAGGTTAAAATACATCTATCTTGCTTGTAGCACCAGTATGGCTTCAATATGTGTCATTCCTGCTGTATCAGTTAGGATAGGAAAATATCCAAGATCAACACTTACTCTATGTGGATAGAAATTAACTTGATTTCAATATCAGAACATATTGTAAGCAGGAGTTAATCAGTGCCGTGTATTGACTTTTAGTTAGGATCTCTTTAATTTCTATTTTCTAAGTCCGTCATCTTTCAACAAGGCCCAACTGGTCAAGACAATATCTTCACTGTCATCTTTTTGGAGTAGAAGGTACACTTTTCAAGTCTTATTTCTCTTTGTTTTCTCAAGCATATCCAAGTTTTTCGTCTTTTTTTCTCTCTCTCTTTCTTTCTTTTTTTTGTTTTTCAAAGATGTTGTCAGTATTTATAAATTGTTTATGATCTGTTGCCGAGATAGACAAGGTCTTGTATGTGAGTTTTAAAGAGAAAAAAATAGCATCTATTGAAGATATTTCATTTCTTGGACATCATTTTATCTCTAACTTGGTGGAAAAAAAGAAAACAATCAACAAAGATACCAGTGTGGCATTTTTGGTGACTTTCAGTAGATATGAATGTACATGTGTCTCTGCAAATTTGGTTTTTAATTGAAAATGAAAAAAAATAAAAAATTTAAAATAAGAGGTTCTTTCTTTTTTTTCTTTTTTTTTTAACTCCTTATAAACGTCATAGGTTTGCTTAGATACTGAATCTTTCTTCACTGAGAGATTGTTAGCACCAGCCTATCAATAACTGATAATATTTACTAGCTTTTTTTATGTAAGAGTTGAAATGTTAGACTCTTTCAATTCCATTGGTACTATTGGGTTGACCAAAAAGTTCCTTCAGTTTTTAAGTAAAATTTCTACTTAATAAAGCAAACAGTCATTTTGGTCAACCCAATCATATATCAAAGTAAGTTAAACCAAGTATGCCAAACTAAAAAAGCTGAGTGGAATACCCAACCAAGTGGATAAGAAGCAAAGATTTTTGGGATTCTAGAGAAAAACCTTAATGAACATCTAAACCAAATCTCTTAGTAATATAAGCAATTGATAAGGTGTCATTAAAAGATGGCAGGTTTTTATCTGTTACAAACTTTTAAAATAAAGACAACCATGTCAAATTTTTGTCAACAACTTAATTGAGAACATACATGCAAAATCTCAAACTTTTTTTTTTAACTAGAAAAAAAGAATTAGATTGTCATTGCTATAATGACTATGTTCTTGACAAATTTACATTTGAATATTCTATGTCAAAAAATAATTTCTGTATAGCCTAACACTATAGATTAATAATCTCCTCTTTTATTCAGGTTCAGATCAACAGTGGGATGATAAGTAAATATGTGATCCGTACACAGCCAACTGATGTTTGCCTCTCTACTGTGGAGTCAGCAGCAGTGGCTCTGTCCTTCCTTGAGAAAAAACCTCAAATCATTGATGTAAGTTTTTTATCTTCACTTTACTTCCCGAATCCCAATCAATTTCTCAGATGTGCACTGTTAGAGAATCTGTGGGGTGACCTATTTATTGTTCCCCAATCATAGTTCTACAAAGGACATCCCCTTACTCAAAATATAGAATAGTTGTACTTATCAAACAACAAATTAAAATCAAAACCTTTACTCTGTCAGATGTTTTTCTGTTATGCTACGTGTTCATTGAAAATATAAAATTAAGGTCTGTAAGCAAATCTGCCTCAAGTGAATAGAATGTATGATTGGTTTTGCTTAAATTATCTAAACTGGTCATAGGCAAATTGCAGCCTATTTAGCTTTCTGAATACCACATCTAGTTTTATATAAAAGTTTTGTTCTCACTTATTCACTCACACACTCTCTCATACATAACTACATACATAAACAATGATTAACTACAATATTTCATAAATTTTCTAACTTTGTTAAATGTAACGTTTTTTAGGCATTTTTAGGCACTGTTGATGATTTTTCACTAAAAAAACATGTAAACATTTTGCTTTAGAAGACAGAATCATTCATAATTGTTTTCACAGATTAAGAAATTTTTTTTTTTAATTTAATTTTTGTAGTGTCAAATAAATATATTAGAAACAAATCCCACACAGTGATGTGTATTAATTGCTCTTATCATTAATAATATACTAAGATTTCATTTTTTTAATTATAGAAAAATCTTTTCTCAAAAAAAAAAAAAATCGACTTTTCTCCATTTTTAAGGCAGCTGCTTATGCATATCATTTTCCTTAATGAAACTTAAGATTAATTAAACTTTAAATCAGCTCTTCTCAAATTTCTCAAATAAGGTTTCAGCAAAGTATATTTTATTATTGAAAGATTTTTAATAAAGAGAATTGTGTTGATAGATCTCTCAATATGGACAAATTTATTGATTTTACTGATAAATAAATAAAAAATTTAAAATAATTCCAATCAATTTAAATTCAATTTGAAATATACCAAAGTATTTTGCTTACTGGAAATTTTAAATTTAATCTATTGGCTTGGAATTAAAACTAAAATTAAAGCATCAAGAAAGATTTGTTTTGGTGACATTTTACTCAATGTTTTTAACTCTTAAAAATTTGCAAAATATAATACTTCATTAAATATTGTGGATTTACATTTGGTCTTTTCTTGGTGATGCCAAAATGGATTTTAGTATAGGCATTGCCAAAACTTTATATAATATATTAGATTTTTTTTTAATCATTTCACCTGATGCAAAGGGTTACTGAGTGTGAGAAAATATGACAGATAGAAATCATTAAGGAGAGGGAACAATAAAAAATAGGAATTAAGAAAACAAAAGATAATGATTGATATTACTTTTACATTTTTAAAGATTGAAGCTGGGAGAAAGTTCCACATGCAAGAAGTGCAATAGAAGTAACTATTAACATAGAACTTACAGTTAACATCTAGCAACAGTAAAATGATGAAACATTGCCAATCTAGTAGTATGCTTAAATTCATAAAGTCAAGGTTCCATTGAGGAAAGCTCCTCAGAACAATTACCATGAAAATATTTATAGAAAAGGCACAGGGAAACTATATTATAGTGGTGGGAAAGTGACTGAAACAGATGTCAGGACCAATAACATTGCAGTTTCTTCTTTGGATTTTATCAAGAATCTCTAAATACATAGCAGAAACACCAGACCAGATGTGGTTGCAATATACAATGCATGGGCAATTGATGGATCTATCAATATGTAAGATAGATTCTGGTGAGAAAAATTGTCTAGCACAAAACAGTGAACCAACTTTCCTAGCTGCAGACCTAGCAATTGAATTAATTAATATAATCTTTCCACTTCATGTCAGCAGAAAACATTTACCCAAGAAATAATTGTAGAAAATATTTACATCAAATTTCTATTGCCCATAGATAATGATTTCAGTTTCCAAATGTACCAGGTTCATGTCATATTTTTTGTTTCTAGCAATAGACATTACTTAGAATTCTATTTAATATTATTTTAAATTGATATTATGAACTTCTTCTTGGCTGAAATGAGACCATTAATTTTGTTTGAAGTTAGTCACTGCTCAGGTATTGGAATTGAATGCAGTTGCCATATATGGTCTGGTGTCTCCGCTGTTCATCTCAAGGTCCTCGACAAAATCCAGAGACTGATATGCAATGTAATAGGTTCTGATCTGGCATCTCGTCTACAGTCACTTTCTCACAGACGTGCTATGGCCTCTCTCTGTCTTTTCTACAACTATTTTCATAGCATCTACTCTGACGAACTACTTTTCACTGGTACTTCAACTGCATGATTTTAAGTGTGCTACTAGCCTCTTCTCTCACACTTCCCGACAATGGAACTCCCTGCCTCCTATTTGCTTCCCTGATAGCTATAATCTTCAAATAGTCAAACATAAAGTTAATTGACCTCTTCTGATACCTTGATTCTGATCACCATCCTTCTCTATCTCCTTTCCTCAAACACCTCTCTTTACTCTAGCTCTGAGTGCAAGTCAGAAAAAGACATATGTATAAAAAGATTTAGGTATAAATAAAATATATCTGTAAAAGTCTGAATAAGTACAAAAGAAACACTTTTCTTTACCAAAATGTTTCATCTTCTAAGGTAAATGTAAAAAATTTTATTTTGAAACATGTATTTATGAACATTGTTTCGCCTTGACTGTTGATATGAGTTGGTCAATGATGCATTATGGCTAGGTCTATTGTATTATCCTAACAGTTATTGGGTGGATGATAATGGCTATGTGTCAAATTATTTTTTTTTTAGTGTTGCTTGTTAACTATTTTACTAATTTTTTATTGATTACTTTATTATTTGTTGTTGTTGATTATTGTTATATTTATGTGTGCAATCATAATTTATTAATTTTTTTATCATTTACTAATTTGTTTACTTATTTATTCATTTAAACTGTTTATTTTATTTTACTTTTTTTTTTTTTCTGTGGTGGCAACATACCTGCCAAAAGCAAGAAAAAGGAATTGTTTGTACATGTGCTTGTAGACATCATAGTCCTGTGAGGCGAACTTCAGAAAATCAATGATGAAGTGACACAGCGCATACATTATCAGTGAGATCTCGGTTTCTGACCTGAGACCAAGGAAGGATAAAAAGAGCTGACTTTTTGTTTCAGGGGAGTTTGTTCTTTGAGACTGGTGAAGGTTATACCTGTGTTCCAGAGAAAGAGCAATAATACTGTTGTATGCGGTGCGCAGGGAAACAAAGTCCTGAGCAAAGCATTGTTCGGTTTCCATGTCAGTGGGAACAAATTCAGTGGAAATTTATTTTCCTACCACTCAATTTTCATTTAAATCTCCCATTTTCATATTAGTTTTTTAGTAACATCATAAAATTTGTTTTTGTGTTTGCATTTTGAAATGAGTTCTTATTGTTTTAGTAATTTGTGTTGGTCCAGGAAGGTAATTATATCTATTTACTCCTCCAGACAGAGTTTACAGTTTTTGGATTTATTGTTGCAGGCTGATGCTGTTTTCCTTATTTTCTATGATATTTTTGGTGTGATTTGATTTTTGTTTTTAAATTCCCAGGTATGTTTAGAAAGCATTGTTTTGTGTGCATAGTTTCTCTTTCTATGTTCCTTCTGTTACTCCTATCAATATTTATCCTACATTTGTTTTTATGTTTTTGTTGTATGGTGGGTTGAAGCATATTTTTTTCTTTTGTGTTTGTTTTTTGTTTTTTTGTTTTTTTTTTTGGTGTGTATGTGAATGTTGCTGAAAATATATCTTTTAGGGCAGTTTCATAATCTTTCTAGGCATTGTTTCAATGGAAGAATTGTCAGATAACCCATGGTTAATTGATTGTGGGATCTGCTTGTTCATTGCTAGCAGGTTGTTGGAAGATGTGTGTATGTATAGTGGTTTGTCGTTGGCTTTTCTATATGGTTAATATGTATGTATTCTTAGGTTGAATGTGACACATAAGAAATATACTGCTTTTAGTTTAGTTTTTCTGTCTGTCGAATCACATATTTTTGAAAATTATGACTATTTTTCTGATTTTGTTGGTTACAGTTTCTTAAAATTATGAAACCATTGTCCCTATATAGACCTATATCATTTTAATTTTAATTTGCTTAGTTCCTGTAGTGATAAATACATTAGATGAATTGTTTATTTAAGTTATATCTACTTTTCATTTTTTTTTTCTGGAAAGTATCTAATTGTTTATGAAATTTTATTTTTCTTACTAAGTTAGTCAAGTCTCTTTCAAAGTTGTCTAATTCCTTGTATTGTGGAGGACTTTCTTTTTTTTTTTTTTTTTAAAGCCATATTTTTTTTTTTTTCTTGAGTGCATTTCTGTATTCTGTCACTCTATTCCAGATATTCAGCACTTTAACCCATAAATATAGCATACCTTAAAACTATATATGAATTTTCTTTTCTCCCAGATTCTGACTAAGCCTCTGGAAGCATTGTGCCAATTTCAGCTTGACCATGGTGCCCAAAAACATCAGAGCAAAGAGTACCTCATCAAAAATGGACTTTACAAAAGAAAGGTAAAATCCTCCCGGATCAAGGATGCTCACTAACCCAGATATCTAATTGGTCACCTTAATCAGCCAATGGGTGTTTTGATAAAAATTTTGATTGTACATTTCAGTGTAAAGATTTTGAAACTTTAACATCTGAAATATTTTACATAGATTTGTTTAAAAGAAAAAAGCTTTGTGATGGAAATGGGTGTGAGAATAAAAATATCACAAATAGCCGCAATTATTTCTTCTATTGAATATAAAAGGTTTTTCTCTAAGCCAACAACATTAATTCCTCTAATGAGAACTTGTACTTTCCAGCAGACTGATCTATATGCTATTATTGCTTTTAGTGTCACTTTTAAAAGTTATGTTACAGTTCATGGATTAAATGTAGATCTGCGTCACTTCTTCTCAGTATTCCATTTGAATAGAAAAATAATGTATGTGTAAATTTAGTTCTAATTGGACATTAATTATCTTAGACATTTGGGAAGGTTATCTATAAAGCCATTGGCAAACTTGGATCTGAAAAAAAAACAGTATCAAAAAGTACAGTTTTCCATTGATACTGTTATTATTGTGTAAATAAACAATCTAATAAATAAATAGTGTTTATTTTTGTTGTCAGTTCTCAAGAACAAAGAAAATGTATAAATTCACTTTCATATGTTCAAGTTTTATTCCAATTCTAATCATTGCTTTTTAAAAGGTATAAACATTGCTGAGGAATGAAGGTAGTTAAAGTAATAGTGGTGTCAAGGGAAAAATTGTCCTTTTGACACACAGTTTTGTTTGCAGGGTTGAAGGTCCAAGTTTTCCAAATCATTCTTGAAGATCTTTTCTCTAGAGATCAAATTTAAGAACTGACATGTTAGATTTTCTTCAGTTCTGTCTACAGCATGGTAAAGTTTTCAAGATATCAACATTGACAGTTTATCAACTTAGAAAATGAAAATTAGAAATGCCATCAACTTCTCTTTATAAGATTTTTTTATTAATCATTATTTAATTAAAAAAGCCTGTAATTTTAGAAACAGTGCTGATAACAGCAAAGAAGGAATCATATTTGATAGAACCTGAGATTTCCCTTAAAATATGTCTAAAAAAAGATATTTCCCAGATTTCATATGCAAAGTTGAAGTATCCAGTAACCTGTTTATCCAGATACCATAGAATGCCAGTACAAAGCTTAGCTCCATAATATTGCCATATTAAATGTAATTTGGGGAGGAGTGTCTTTTATATCATCAAATCATCTGTTTTACATTATATTTGTATCCTAAAACAAATGCATTTAACAAAAATTTGATTGTAAAAATACATTCAAATCTTTTCTACCCATTTCTGTCACTAAAAGCAGCAATTTTGTTAAATCCAGTATTTTGTTTTTGATTGTCTGATTCTAATGTTAAATTTATAGAAAATGTTATTCAAAATCATTGTAACATGTTTGCACATACAAGTGAATTTCAAATATTTTTTATATGAAAATGAGGCCTTTTTTGGTTTGCTGCCCTCCCCCACATTTCCACCAATGATAGAAAAACAATAATGAATAATATTTACCCAATAGCTCCCTTACACTTTACCCCACCAAACCAAAATATTTTGTTGAAAGACAAAACTTTACAAATGTAAATAGATTCACTGGACCAACAAAGCAGTGCAAAAAAAAAGTATGTGAATAGCTACGGGAAAATAAGAATGTTAAATCTAAAAGCAAATTTGTGGTAAATAAATTATTTGTTTAAAATTTAAAAAAAAAAAAAAAAAATGGTTGGAGCAATTTTGGAATAATTTCCAAAATCTCACTTCACATTGTCATAAAAAGCATTTTTGGTGATGCTGTAAAATAAACCTCGAAAGATCAACAAATTCCTTTCTTATTTATTAAATCAACCACATCATGTTCTTTTGGAATTATGTTAACTCTCGCTTCCTAAACTCTTACCTCAGTTCTTTTTTTTTTCTTTCTTTTTTAATAACACTCATCAAGACACACAACTTAATAAAAATGTTATGATAAATCAAAAAAATCAAATACAATAATTGAGTACCAAACTGCTCAGGGTAGTCATTTTAATCTGGATTCTGCCTTTTTGATGTTCTTAATTAACTGGAGAGTGTCATGGTGCTGCAATTCCTTTAATTTGATATTAAATGATTTAATCATGCAGAAAAAATTCAATAAATTTTGACTGCTTGGATTTTATACCAGCAAAATTATTATTTATAATTTTATAAAGATTGATTTATTTTTTTTTTTCTTTTTCTCCAACTTGATAGAAATCAAACAAAAATGCAGAAATAAGAATGTAATATAATGAGATAAATGTAAGAAAAGATCAGAGCAATTAACTGCATTGGATAAAATTCTATTTTATCTGTAGAAAGGAGAGTTGACTATGCTTAATAATAACCATTCCATTTGTTAAAAAAGAAAGCATTTTTGCTGCTCTCTAAAAAAAAAAATAAATAAATCAATAAATAAAAAATAAATATTCATTGATTTTTCTATTTTATTCTTTTTATCCACATTTAATTTTTGCAATATTTTCCTTTAAACCTGTAACCTACTCTCATGAAGAAATATGATCTCAAAAATATTTTAACACTATCTGAAGGTTATTTTTCCTGATTTTTCACTAAAAGAATCTTTTATATTAAATGTTTTTACTTTGAAATTTTCAAATTTGATGTTTTTTTCTACTTTCTCTCTCTCTCACTTTTCACTCTCTCTTGCTCTTTTCAATAGAAAACAAACTTGGTATTTTTTTTTATTGACTCATCTGATCTCAGAATCTAAGTATATTAACTACAAAATATTAATTTTGATGTAAGAATTCCCTAAGACAATTCCTTTCACAAATTTGGAAAATGCTGTAATTATAAGGCCTCTTACTCTTTAAATTTTGTAGAATATTCATTAAGTCATTATGTTAATTGAAGATTTTATAACTAAATATTTTTGCAACGTGACATGCACATTAAAATATCTAGATGCTAATCATGACCTCAACAATAGGTTATTCTCTTTGAGATAAGTTTGATAAATATGATAATAATTGTTTTATGTACATAAGTAATAAATATAGATTATACAGTAAGTCAAAACTTGGTTTCTCTTGAAAATGTTTATCAGTATCATTTTTTTATTGCTTTTTTTACTCTATTTTGTACACACTATTAAAATATTTTTATGACAAAATTTACATCTTGCTTTGATTGACAAAATTTAATCATGATTTCCTTTTCTCAAACAATTTGTTTTTTATCTTCCTATTTAAATTTTCAGGATAAACTTATAAAAACATTCTATTTGCTGATGTTTTGTTCTGAAGATTTTTTGAACAGCAATTTTTTTTAACACTAAGCATATTGATAGCTGCAATTTCTTTCTTGTCTGCTATTATTATTTCTTCCTATTGTTTATACAAGTATTTTCCTTTCATCTTTTATATTTGGTGCTATTATAGTATGACATCTACCAAAGCATTTGCAACCTACCGTAAATGATGATGCACTCTACCAAACAACCCGCTTATAGCCTACAGCAATTAATTCCTCAAACTACATACAGTGTTATTTTAAGCTATTTATCTAATTTGTATTCATAAAGGAGCTATTTATGTAATTCCATTGCAAAATAAATAAGTTAACATCAGACAAAATAATCTCAATTCAAGATTTATGCTTAGGGTTTTTAACATATTTTGTACTTCCAACAGTTGGTAAATATCATACCATAGTAGGAAAAGAATAGTAGATATCATACTATAATAGAAAATGGGTTGCAGATATCATACTATAGTAGTGCCCAATATTTTATTTTTAATAGATAATAATGGTTGACAATATTTCATCTCTTTTTACTAAAAAAGAAAAAAGAATACAAAATGTATATAGCTGCTACCTCTATTTAAAAAAAAATGATGCTAAGATTGAAGTAGGGGGTTTCAAAAAATGAGTGACAAATTTCTGGGGTAGATTTGATCTTCTATAGAGCCAAGCTTGTGCAGCTTGCTCAGTAAGAGCAGGGTTAGGATTATCTTTTATTTCTGATCTGGAACTGTCTACTCAGTGTTACAGATTAACAGCCTGACTCATTTTGTAGTAATAAAATATAACAGTTAATAATCAAGCTGAAAGATAAACTTACATTATAATGACTTTTATGAACAAAACTTATGTCTTTTTAAGTTAAATATTTTATAAAGACTGTCTTAGGATAATTCACATCATTAAAGTTTTTTTTTCCAATGTTAATAAATATAGAAACCAAAATGCATTAAAGTTAGTGTCAGTGTGTAGTCTAGGGTTGTCTATAATAGGGGTTGGCTACCTTTTTACTATGTGCTGACTTAGGGTTTTAAAACCATTCAGTATCCCAACAGCATATATATTTTTATACAAGTCAAGATCAATATATATATTCTACAATATATTTCATATAATAATATATAGCAAATATACTTTAGTATATATTAAAATTGCAACAGCAAAATATCTTCTTTGCGTTGTATTAGCTATTGGTTTGGACTTCATGATTTCATTTGTGGTTGTGTGCCATTGGAAATTGCTTGACGTGTCATGTGTGGCCAACCCCTGGTCTATAACATTATTTCTAACTGGATCCAGATATGCAACAACTTCTTTGTAAATAGAAAAGATACAGAAAATGAAATGATCTGACCCCGTTGGTTGAATTTAATAAACTAGTTTGATTATATAACATATATATGCTGGATGATTACCAAAAATTTTTATTTTACTCTAATTTATTAAAACTAAAACCATTTAAGATACTGGCACTCATAATAAACTGTAAGTTTATTACAGCATCCAACAGATGTGTTCACATTTGTTTATAGGTGCAAATCTTCAGGTACTAATAAGTTTTGCACCCAAAACTTTTACGCAAATACCCTGTTATTTTAAATTTCTTGCACCAATCGTCAATGGATTGTCTGGTTGACAATATTTTTTTCTCTAAAATGTGTTCTAAAATGTCATTGCATGACAATAACAGAATTTGTTTTGCTTAATTCAGACAA